GGCCAAAGCTGTCGCGGCCGGCGCTGTGAAGGACGGAGACGCAGCGACCGAGGGTGAAGCCAGCGCGTGCTGCGGCGGAGGCGTGCAAGCGGTGCTGAAGGATCCCTACGGCTTCGCCTGGATCATCTGCTCCTCCACGAAGAAGGCGGAAACCGTCGAGTAACTGATCCTCACCGGCTCTGAGATCACCTTGTTCCTCCTTTTCAATTCTTGGTTCACGGATTTCTGCATATTGGCCAAAGTTGCGGTGTTTGTTTTTTTTTTTCGCAGCATTTCTCGGGCTGTATATTTTGCTCCTTCCGCGTACTTTATTCTGTCGCTATATATTTGCTGGATGATTTCGGTTGCGATATAACGGATGTTTATTCGGTATGGTTATAAGTGTAGTAAAACAATGGGTCTGGGTGTTGTGATTCAAATTTATTTCTGTGCGTGAAAAACGAAAATGTGGTAGTGTGGAGCGTGGGTCAGTGGTTTGAATGCTCCTTCCAGTAAGTGGTGGACACGTGGCCTTTGATGACTTCATGTGGTCCCCACGAAAATTGTACCCGATAGTTGTTTTGGGCTTTGTGGAAGATCACTGGGTCCGATGCCATTTTACATTTACCCTACCTCATTGATTTTTTTTATAATAAAAAAAAAGCCATTCGTTGGGCTTTTAGCCCGTTTGGTGAGACCCTCTCCCCGAGAGAGTGGGTCGTCTCCTCTTTGGTTGTGTTTTCCTGTTCTCGATTCGGTGAGATTTTGGGTGCCGATGATTTGTGTTTTTCAGTATTGCTTTCCATCAATAGTGGATTGCCGGTACTGTGTGGGTTCCTCGGAAACCAAATTCGTTACAATCGCCGTTCTTCTCTTGTTGTTTTCATCGGAGGGTTACAAGGAGCGAATCCACTCGTAAAATTAATTTAAATCAAATCAGATGATATGGGAGGAAAAAGCACTAAGAATTGTGAATGCCGCGACGGGAAGAAGAAGAGAGGGAGGTGGCGGGCTCGTTATCAATGCCGCAGAAGCATTTCAGGTCGGAGTTTGCTATTGGGTTTTCAAGAAATACAAAGAAAAACCTACGTTACAACAAAAAAAAAAAAACAGAGGCAACGGCCAACATGTTTAATAACCCAAACTTGGGTTTCAAAGGCAATTTTTTTAGTCCTATGTAATGGAGTTTGTTTCATTCAGCCCAGCTTATGGTGAAGCTCTTCAAGCCCATATATATATGTACATCATACATAAATAGAGTATATACATATACACACCCATTATATGTAGATATGGGTATGGATATTCAATCTGATACCATGAAGAAACTTCTTCTTGTGGAAATATTCCTTAACATAATGAGACAAGTAGAAGGAATGAAGGGAATATTCAAGCTGGTCCTGTTCTCATTCACCAACTAAACACATATGATATATGCTCCTTTTGTATCACCACCATCTCTCTTTCACTTCATATTCTATATCTAATAATAGAGGGGGAGGTGTTTCACCTTGGAATGGTTGTTGGTTCTAATATTGAATTTCAAATCCATTTTGAGTTGGTTAATATCATTCTTAAATTTATATATAATTCAATGGGTAATGTTTTTTTTTTTTAATGATAAATGGCATTTAGTGGACCCGCCAACTTAGTAGATGAGTGGCATTTAATGATACCCCATTTATCCTTTTGTTGCAAACATTAGTTGATACCATTCATTATCGAGGCTTGAGAGAAATATTATGTAACTTAAAATTACGAATATATGATTTGGTCCCTAACCCTAAGTCTAAAATCAATTATTCAACCAAAAACAAAAGTCTACACTCAATTAATCTGCGTGCGTACATAAACCAAACTCGAGAGTTCACAAATGCTAAGATTTCAAATATATTCCGTTTGTTTATGTTTCGATGTTTTCATTTCAACAAATTATATTTTAAGATATTCACATATATATATATATATATATACGAATTCGTCCATATTCAAATTTCAATTTCTCGACTATATGATATATTTATATGATATTTTAAATACGATAGAACGAATGAAATCCCTAACCTCCTTCCAATGAATTTAATTAAAAAATATATTTTATTGAGTTAAATTATAGATTTTAGATTCAAATGGTGTGGACGTTTATCAGGACCGAATCGAAAAATTCGATTCTGAATCGTAATGTTTCAGAAAATCGAATATAATATTAAAAAAACAAAACAAAAACAGAAAAATTTATTAAAAGTATATATTTCCCATAATAAAAATTAAAACCTACTGAATCTAAACCGAATAAAATATAATATAATAACCGATTAATACATATTTTATAGAAATGAATAATACAAAACAAAACAAATATTATACCGAAATCTAATCAAATAACAAACGGTAAACGCTTTGAAAAAAATATATTTTTTCAGAAAAAAAGGATAACATGCCTGCAATTTTTTTTGTTATAACAGAGGATTCATACCTATAGATAAATATCCGATCCGAGATCAATCTTTATATATCGGCCTTATTAACCTAGAAATTAGGTCAATCGCTGTCAAGTGGAGTTGAATACCCAACCATTGCACCATCAGATTAACCACTACAGTAACCCTTAGATGGGTATAGTTACGAACAAATGAAACTTTTGTTTTTGTTTTAGGTCATTGTCTGTCATATGGAGTTAATAGATATACTTATTTATGTTCGGACATATATAATCGAAAAACATATGACAAAAACTATCTTTCAAATTCCAGATAAAAATTAAAAACTCAAATGAAATTTAAATACTGCATAAAAAAAATCGATTCAGATTATATAATTTTGTAAAATATAAAAAATTCAGACTAAAACAATGACAGAATCAAAATGAAGGAAACAAATCAACACTAAATTTAGACCAAAAAAGAACACAAAACCCGATGGATTAATGATGGAAACATCATAAACTAATCGTAAAATAACCGAGGCATGCCTAACCAAATTAATATATATATATATATATATATATATATATGTATATGAATAAATGAAGAGGGGGCTCAAAGCCCAAAGCAACAGCCAAGTATATTTTAAATAAAAACTCTATCATCATAGGTCCATATCCCTATATATCTCGATTTAAGATAAAAATATTTATTAATATCGCAGAAACATCACATCCAATAACCTCCATAAAAAAATTCCTGTGAACAATATATATATATATATATATATATATCACATCTTTGTGTAAATAGAATATTTAATTCGATATTTAAACCATCCTTCAAAATTTCAAAGGCTGCAAAGAGCAGTAACCATATTAATTGTGCTGCTATGTAACTGTTTCGGTTGTTTGACCTAACCCCACACCCTAACTCTTGTCCAAATAAAAATAAAAATTGAATAAATAGGTCAATAAATAAAGGAGAATAGACATTTAATAACGAAAAAAAGGATGTAATTGAAAATAATAATAAAAATAAAAATAAATGAATGCTGGGGGGGTTGCTTTGGTTTGTGGCAATGTGTTTGCACAGAGCACAAAGTGTCTCAGTGAATTGGATGTGGGCCTTCTTCCTAAACTTCATTTCCTTAACTCTTTCTCTGCATATTCCACTTTTCTCCTTTCACCTTTTTATTATTTTTTAAATTGGAAATTAAAATTTTTAAAAGTTCAAATAATTTACATTACAGCGATTTTTATCGTATTCAAGTTAAAATCGAATTATATCGTTCCCTAAATACTCTCTTTTTCCATCATATCTTTATTAATGACCAAATGTCAATTTAAAGAATTCGAGATTTTTTAAAAACTTAAACCTAGATGGATATCTCGGTTGAAATCAAGTATTTCTTCAATTCCATAAATGGTCGAATTCAGATTATTAATCGAAAGTTTTATTTTCAATCCAAGTATTCCAAAAAAAAACCAATAATCACTCTATGCTTATGGTCCACGATTAGAATGTTTCAACATATATACGAATATAAGGATGTTTAATTCTGGAAATAGTTTTGTGAATAATCACTTAGCTTATATAACCTTGAACATTAGACGAAAAATTCTAACACCATAGTTTGTCCAGTGAGAATATGTTTTTTTTAAAAGATTTAAATTCTTTCTAGTCGCAATATATATAACCTGTCCAATAATAAAATATTTTATAAAGTGTTATATACCCAATAGAAAATTCCGATATATGTATCACACATAAGAATACACACTAGCTAATTCTTCCTCTATTCGATTTTTCTAGCAATACTAATATCTTTTTTAGGTTTTTTTTTTTCAAAAACATATATCATCAACATCAATATCGCATTAATCCCAAATTTATTCATAAACATGATATAGAATAATAATAAATCTTTTACAACATGATCCAACATCCAAATAAACCTTTTCGCTTTTTCCGGTTTATGAAAATCCAAACCAATACGAAAACAAAAGAAAATTATAAGACAGAAAAAAAAACAAAAAAAAACCCTGAAAATAAACTCAGTAAAAAAGAAGAAGAAAAGGTGGAATATTTGATAAAGTTATCCCCAGAGAAAAGAAGAAAAGCACCCATCTCTCTCTCTCTCTCTCTCTCTCTCTCTCTCTCTCTCTCTCTCTCTCTGGGAGCTTTAAAGAGGGAGGGACTGACTCAACTCCTTTGTCTCTCTGTGCCCATAAGCCTAAAACCCCCACGCCTTCTCCCTCTTTTCACTCTCAAAGCCTCTGTGAAAAGCAACCGCAAAAAAAAAAAAATATCTTTCTCAGGAAACCACCTTCATCATGGACTACGTAGTACGTTAAAAAAAAATCTATCTTTCTTCTTCATCTTCCTCTTCCTCTCTATGTGTAATGCTTAATTAACTTTAGTGTATGTGCGTGTGTGTTTTTCCTTTGCAATTTTCTGGGTTTCGTTCAGGATTACGGGGAGTACTGCAGGAGAGGGCACGTGCCGGCTTTTGGGAGCTGGGACTGGAACGACGCCGTTCCGTTCACACAGTGCTTCGAAACGGCACGTCAAACCAGCGTCCTCCGTTACGGCTACGCCGTTAATCAAGATCGCGATCTCTACGTCGCCGGCGATCTCTACGACGACCACCTCCTTGCCCCCGCCATGATCGTCGTCCCTCGCCGTCGGGTACTTACATATATATATCTCCCCTTTACGTATATGTGTACGTATACATGTATGTGCGTGTGTGGGAGAGAGAGTATGTGTTTTTACAACTCGTTCTTGTTACGGAAATTAACGTTGAAATAATGGGTTACACTAAAGTTTTGTTGTTGTTGTTGGTGTTTTATGATAGTCCTATGCTTTTCGGATAACGAACGAGTGGTCACATTGTTCCCAAGTGAAATTGGATATTTCGAATATGTCCAAAGAATATAAATACTCTTATTCCTCATGATCTGAGATGAAGACAACGAAGAACCAAACAGTTTCGAAAATCAAATAATTGGAGAAAATTGTAAAGTGGGTTCGTTTGTATTTCATCAAATATCAAATAAATATTAATAATAATAATAATAATAATAATAATAATAACGACGGGGCAGGCGAAGGTGGGGCAGGGGCCTCCACGCGTGAGAAGAGCTGCAACCAAAGAGCACAGCAACTTGAAGGCGGCGCGTGAGGCTGACGCTCCGACCACTTCCCCTACTCCGGCTGCGACGCGGAGGCCGGCGGCGAAGCCTGTGGACGAGGACCTGTACAAGATCTCTCCTCAGCTTCTCAAAGCCAAATCCAAAAGGGTAAAATTTTTACCAAGCAAGTATCGATCTTTCTTTATTTGGATCTCCATGTCGCAATGTTACACGCTCAATGCTTTATTATAGTAATATTTTTTTTACAGAAGTGGGAGATCTAATCTTATATTTAGAAGTTATTCTAGTAGGACATGTCTTGAATATGCATGTATATGTATGTATGTATGTATGTATGTATGTATGTGTAATGCTAATATAAGTCGTATTTGTTTTGAACGTTGAATATGCAGGGGAATGGCGGGTTTGGGTGCTTTTCAATGTGTTTCTTGCCAACTCGAGTGTTATGAAGATGCAGCGCGTGAGAGAGAGAGAGAGAGAGAGAGAGAGAGAGAGAGAGAGAGAGAGAGAGAGAGGGAGGATTTTAATATAAGATGTGAGGATAATATATATATATATATATATATGTATTATGATGTGTATGTGTACATGTATGTATGCGAGGAGGAGGGGGGAAAAAAAGGAAAGGAGAAAAATCGTGAAACCTTATGGTAAAGGGAGCCTTATATGATATTTAAGAAAAATGAAACTTTTTGTGGCTTTATTTTCTATTCATCAAGTGACCAATTTAATTTAATTTAATTTGTACGCTGCTCATTGACTTGCTTTATTTCATTATTTAAATTGAGTCTTATAATTAATTACAATTATATATGGGCTTTAAATGATAATGTTGAACGAATGAATTTAAAATATATATTTTTTTTTGCTAAAACTTTATATTGGGGAATGACCAGAAAATTTTGACCAGTGGCATTTGCCATTTGACGGGTAGGGTTCAACCAACCACTAGTCAAATATTTGTCTGTTAGATTTTAAATTAAAAACTATACGTCTATAACAATTATGCGTAGTTAAGGTTAAAATCATAGCAATAAGTTTATACCAATTCCCAACGCATATACGGTTAAAAATCATTTCCAGCCTAATTTATTTTTCTCCATTCTTACATCTATAAATGGTTTATATTTAAATTTTTAGATTTTAATTTTTTTTTTTAAATTTGAAAACACAAATATTTGATGCAATTTTAATTAAATGATGTTGAATCATTCTACGTTAGAACACTTTCAATTATCCATTCTAAATTTCCCCTTGTATTTTTTTTACATAAAAAAATCATGTTTCGTATTTCCTTCACCAAAAGTAGATGTATAGTTTGATTTTAAAAAATTTTCCGAAATTTATCATTGTTTTCCTTAGCAAAAGTGGACCATTCACGTGCTGCCTGTGAATCCAAGGTAATCAAGAAAGATTTAACTTTCTAATTATAATTATATAATCATTTTTATATTTATGATAGGATAAGGAAAATAAACTAATTACAGAATTATATTGTTTGTTGCCATCATTTTTTGCAAAAAAAGAAAACAGCTGAGATTAAATAAAGGTAGGGACATGCAATGCACGAACAAATATAAAGAAAAAGGTGATGGAAATTATGGCAATCAAATGTTGTGTAAAGAACGACCCACGCTTCAAAATTAGTGTAAAAAAGAAGCCACGGCCATGTCACGTAAAAGAATGATTTAACAAATCTTCTTAATTTTTTGTATAATGATGCTTTTAACGTAAAAAAAAAAGCAAGATCTTTAAATCACATTTGTACTATATTTAATATACTATTTTATTTTGTTTTTTTTCCATAGATATAGACATATAGTTATGTACGAAAAAAAAAGAAATTTCCAAGTTTTGGTTTGAAATTGAGTGTTATTAATGATATTATGGTAAATAAATTAATATTGTGAGTAACAAACAATAACCGATGATGGAAGCTAAACAGAAGATAAACCAAGATTTTGGTCGCTTAAGTTCGCTTTGGGGTTTTGGTTTGATTGTAATTATAATGATAATCCAGAATTTTATCGGACTTTTGTTTCAATTACATCTTTTAGACAATCGAAAAAATTTAGGCAAATTTTTCTCCCCCGATGGAGATTTGAATCTGTTTGGAAAGAAGTTTTATTCCATCTCTTACCAGTTGAACCATCTAATCTCGGATGCGCCAATAGAATTGTTATATCGATCAATATGTAAATATGGACTATCAATCTTCAATTTGGGTGGTAAGCAATGCACCTTTAGCAACAAATATCATTATTATCATCATCATCATCAGCTCCATTAAAAGGGATAGTTTCACAAATACGATAGGGACAAACAATTAAAAAAATCCATAATAGATATAGGTCGAAGAAGATAACAAAAGGGTTAATTAAAGAATTAGCAAACGGGGCCGGCGGTGAGGCCGCACCTAACGGGAAGAGTGTCGGCATGCTTGCGTTCGATTCCGAAGACCGACAGGAGAGGAGAGTATCTGTATTTGCAGAAGCATTTCAAGTCGGAATCTCTAAGAGCGACGCAGCATTCCCTCGTCGGCCTCGCCGGCGAACGTCTCACGGCCGGACTGCACGACCACAGCTCCTTACGCGTCATTTTACACACCTCGTAGGCCGTGGCCGCGCTCTCGAACGAGGCGGCGACCAATACCATTGCTACCGCCATCAATGCCATTTTGCTCGACGCCATTTTTGTATTGTTTTGTAAAAAAAAAAAAGTTTATGTTTTTGTGTGTTTTGTCGTGAATGAGAGTGTCGGGTTATATTTATAGTTTGTGTTTAGGGTTTCAACGCATCCTGAATTAGAGGGTTTCAATGGTCACGTTTTGTTTTTTTCTTCACCTATTTTTGTGTGTTTTTGGTTTATTCCTCTTGAATTTGAATAATCTCTCTCTCTCTCTCTCGTTTGTTCAGATGTTTAGTAACAAACTTGGTTGAAATTTTGTCTACGAACTTTGAAAAAAAAAAAATTTATTGTTTGTTTCATGAATATATACATTCATTCTTGGTCCCCAAATGAATATTAGATCTCACAAAATTGTAAAGACCCTTGATTGTCCCGATATTTACTGTAGCGTAAATGTGTATAATAAATCTAAGGTATATTTAAAAAATCTTACCTTGAACCATTATAAAATAACTAACACTAATCAAAATGTAGTATTATTAATTATACTCGACAAATGAATCACGAATTATACGTAATTGAAGTCGCACATTAAAATTTAATCCATCTTGCATGCAGAACGCATGTTTGTTTGACCAATTAATGGAATGTTTTTTTTTTTTGGGGGATAAATATAATGAAATTGGAAAATAAGCATAGACATTGGATAAGAACGATGTCGGATCAACCCAATGCTAGCTTGCACGCTCGGCATGCATGCAAGCATGCATAATTTGACACGTCATCACCTCTCTTCAATTTTGTGTTTTTCTTCTATTTAATATATTATATATGTATATATTCACATATTTCCTCTGGTTAGAAACAAAATGTCGTTGGATGCAAAGAGCACAGAGAATTGGACGCTAATTTCATGGTAATATTTTTTTTATTATTATTAATTAATCTTCTTTTCTATTTTCTATTTTCGAATTCCTACTTCCCTGCCTTGACGAGAATTATTAGCAATTTTTTCATCATCAACAACAACAATAATAATTAATAATTTGAAAAGTGATGATGAATTGATCATTCACACGGACAAGAACATCATCAGAAATACAATATTTTCTTACGTATTCTGAGTTTGCCACTCTCTAAATTCTTTATTTTTCGAAATTATATAATAAAAAATTCAAACAGTATCTGGTAGTAAACCATATACAATTTTCGATATTGTAACATTAATAACAGTTTCGAAATTTTCAAAAATTCCAGACAAATTCTGTGAATAGGCAATCAAAATGGTTCGATTAAACATCATGCTTTCAAACAAGTATTTATCAGCCACATGTGAACTGAAACTATTAGCTAGATTCTTTAATTTCAAATTCTCTTAATCTCCTCACACTCTCAGTTATGAGAAATCTAGATGTGGTTTGTAGATTATTACACGAGGAGGGTTAGTGTGGCTGCTGATTTCCATGTTATATAAACAATATCTCCAATTTTAAAATCTTCAGATATTTCCATAGAAAAATAAAATTCTTAAAAATCGCCATTATTAATTGCTATTTGATATTAGAATTTTCATTTTACGAATTCATTTCCATTCAAACTTTATATTAAATCTTTTTTATTGATAAAAACAATTACATTAAATTTTTTATTATTTTATACTTAAATAGGTTTGGTTAAAGGTATAACCATTATTATTCGATTTATTTATGCATAACCTAATCAAATGTTCACCCCCAGTAAAAACTAACTGTGGGAGTGACAAAACTGGTTAGCAAACCTCCATTAGCAGTCCATTTGGATGTACAATCAGAGGTTTGTTGGCTAAGTGATGCATTTTGGGTCTAATCATTTTTGGTAATTAGGGTTCCAAAGGTTAAGACAGATGTAGCTAAGAAGATACTGCAAAAGAAGACAGGTGACTTGGCTTGCAAGTCAAGCACTGAGATGACCAAAGATCCCAAAAAGGTATGTCTTTGCTCACCAACGGCTCACGATGGGTCCTTCCGATGCCACCTTCACCGAACCACCACCGGTGCTGCTCCCACGGCTAACCCTAAGACCACGGCCGTGAAGAAAGATCGACCACCACTGTCACGGCTCAGTGTGGTCACATCATCTGAGAATACTGAATAGCGTTCCGTTTTATCCGACGCATAATGTGAGATCAACATCACATCAAAAGCTTACAATATTAGTTACATAATGTAAAAAAGCAGTAGAATAAGCTCTCCTTTTTTCTCTCTTCTGAATCTATGAAATTTGGAGAATCGTTGAAAGCTCGGAATGGGATTTACGTTGATAATAACGATTTAGATGGGTAAGAACTGGAAGATTAGAAGAGAAGATGGAGAGAATGTACTTTGTGTTATGAGACTTGGAGAGCTCGGACACGGGCGGTGAGTTCCCTGACTTGGCTTCTCAAACGGTCGGGGTTGCAGAAGAAATCCACGAATACCCGCCTTTGAAACGCCACCTCCTGGGAATGATGCTTCACAATCTGCAAAGATTTAAGATTCGTGTTAGAATAAACCGGGTTGAATTTTTCCCCCTCAGTAGAATGTATTTTCAACCAAAGATTAGAGAAAAGCTCGAAAAAGATTTTTACCTCCTTTTTCTTGCAATGTTCAAGTGTGACCTCTTCGACTGCTGCAGAGAGCTTTGAGTTGATTTTCCCCATTTCATCGAGCTCTTTCATTAATGGCTATTATTACAATCAGACACGAAAAACAAAAACAAGTTAGACTCAAACTGTCGTAGTTGATGAGTTTACACAAGGACTGAAAAGGTGTTGATGAGTTATACCCAGGGTGTCAATATGGGTTGCGCTGTCGTTGAAGATGCGAATAGTAGTTGCTGCAGGTTCTGAATCAGTGTACACCTGACAGATACCGAGGAAAAGGGCGTATATATATATATGTGACTATTCACGAGTTTCCATGGGAGGAACGTAAAATATGTTGTCTGAGGATATATACAGTTTCTAACGGTGACTTACAGCTCGTTGATGCATCTGTTTCTGTCCTCTGGAAGGGAATTCTCGAGGTCGGACTGAAGGGACAACAAATCTGATTGAAGGGAGGCTATATGCTGAACAATGCCTGGCGCTGATACGTAACTCGATAGCCCAGCTTGAGCATCTGCGACAACGATAGATGGAAATCAGCCGGAAAAACTAGAAGAAAACCCAATTAATTGCAATAGTTTCCTGAGGGAGGGGGAACTAGTGGCTACTTGAGTGTAAACTGAGGAGATCTCTAACTCCATGTAGAAAGCTGTCTCGATCATCCACGGCTCCCTGTTCTTGAACGTCAGAAGCAGCTTGGATCAACGCCAAACACCGGCCCTGCATAAAGTGCCAAGATGATCAATTCTGCTCCTCGATTTTCCGAAGGAAATGGGGAATGGAACCCTGGAAGAACAGACCTCACGGCTTCTGGTGGCGGAGAGGTAACTCTGGAGTTCTGATTCGATAACTTTGAGCAAAGAGAATGCTCCAAGCATGTTTTTCTTCTCTAACTGACATGCTAATTTCAAGAACTGATGCCTTGCAAGCTGATTAACCAGATGATTGATGAACTGCAATAAAAATTCTGAATGTCAAGACAGAATCTGTGACAAATAGGTCTTGATATCTCTGGATCATTTCATGGGCTCTCGTGGATGGAAACAGATGTGATGTGAATTGTGATTAATATATCTTTTACAGATAGGATCGGAGATCGATCCACACACGGCATAAAGTATTTCCCAAGGGAAATGGAGATAGAGCTGCCCCGCTCCTAAGGCGAAAAAGGGTTGTCATAAGGGAGAACACATTAAAAAAAGAAGAAGAAGCAAGACCAGCATACCACTTTCTGTTTTCCAATATACAGCTCTTGGCGCATGACCTTCAGATCATAGTCACCTGCAAGTTTATGAGTTAGTTGCATGGACCTCAGGAGCTGTCCAAGAGCCTCAAGAGAAAGAACAAAAGAGCTAATGCAGAATACCTTGCAAGATATAGGTGTCTTGGAGTTGGGCAAGCTCCCAACATAGTTCCGGGATTGTCTGAAAACAAGAGCAGAGTAAGCAATCATGGTGTCAGTGCAAAATCAAAGTGCCCATGGATTCAATTCTACAAACAGGAAAATGCCAGAGGCAAGTACACACAGACCTCAGATAAGAGCTTTTCTTCTTTCTGATAAAGATTGGAGATTTCTTCAACTAGATCGGCATGCTTTCTCCTGCACAGAAGTACACACATCTATTGTTATGTAAAGTTCAAATGAAAAGTTGACAAGGTCTTGCTCTGATGTTCCACTTTCTTCTACCTTAGAGCATGTAGATCAAAATGAATATGAGCTTCATCTGATGTTACTTGAGACTTGAGAGTCAAGAGAATAGCTTGTTGCTTAGCGTTCTCCACCTGGGCCTCAACCCATTGTCTCTCACTTGTTCCGAATCTGCCAAAAATAAAAACAAAATGCCTTCAGGAGTAGGAAGTTATATGCCTGACAACACCATGGTTTAGATGCTAAATCATTTGCAAGGTTTCTTTGGTATGCCCCAGTATGCATGGGAAAAGTTGCCGGCCCTAATCAATAACGCCATCCACCATTCTGGTATCAAAAGCTTCGCAAAACCTTTATCGGGAAATGTAGAATGGCATCACAAAAACAAAATCTGATAGCTGAACTGCCAGAGTAGCATATAACACATACATGGATCGAAGTCGTTGCAATTCAGATACACGTTGATGTTGGGATTTTTCCAAGTCTGCTGCAAAAAAAAGAAAGAAAGAAAGAAAGAAATATTATCAGAGAAGCCAGCTTGAAACAAGCAAAAGATTATATGGCATAACTCATTGCTGAAACTGCAAAGATAGGATATTTAATATACTGAGGCAGCCAAAGAAACTGCATGAACATTTAAGCAATCCACGCAAAAATTAGGGTGCCTGAAAGAAATCTTCACATTTGTAAATAATAATAAACAAAAAAAGCCTCGACTACATATGCATGAGGGAACGTAAATAATAAGCAGAAGAAAGTGGTTACCTCGCAAGATATTTGATGTGTCATCAAGACTAACCCATGAGCATTTTGATTTTCCTTCCTCTGCCACTAAACGATATGGTCCCTATTTATGGTAACAGATGCGGACCAACAGAAACAAGTACATAAACAGGTTTGAGAGTCTTGAGACAGAGTGACTGCTTGCTGACATATCTTGTGCACCACATTACTATTATTTAAGAAAAAATTGTCCTCCTAACAGAAATTAACAAAATTATATCAAATTTACTTACTGTATCTAGCTGCTTAGCAAACCACTGATTTAGCTCCTTTATGCAAGCTGAATCACCAGCCAAGTATGCGTGGAAATCGGAGTATGCTAAGTAGATGCCATTCTCTGCAGATATGACACCAATTAGAAGCAAAGCAAATAAAGATGACAAGATGTGACTTTCATCTGCTATAACTCTAATTTTCCAACATATAACCAGTTATAAGAACATAACTGTAAATCACCTATGAATGGAAGAAGGATTGAAATTTAGGTGCTGGCTGCAAGATATATAGAATTAAGAGGTAACAAAGATTATCCTGCGGTAAAAAAAATTCTGCATCTTTAAAAATTAAGTACATTATTTGGGGTCCAAAAAGAAGCTTGGTCCAATGATCTTGAAATCAACTTCTCTTTCGTGATCAACAACTATCTTATGGAGGTAAAGTTCATTGATCGGGTGAAGTCAATTCACAAATGTTGAGACCCAAATTTTTTTTCCAAATTAGAACTGTAAACAAGCTCAGGAATAATCCTCTAACAATGAAACAACTTTAACCTAAAGAAAGATCGAGAGGGGACAAAAATTTATACCTTCACCAGAATGATAATGTGACAGCTCTTGTGCAGTTGAAGCCAACCTTCCTAGAACTCCATTCATCTAGATTACAGGAAAAAAACAGACAAAAACGTCACAGATTTTCCAAAGATGAAAAAGAACGCATAGTGCAGCAGAGTTGTGCAAGGACAATATCAGACCTGCAAATTCCTAGCAGATAGGCTGTCTTCTATGGTTGTTAGCTGTCCATTTACTGTAGAGGTTGCCGCAACTCTAGCCCGTCTCCCTTGGATCAAAGCTGAAGACTGGCCACTAAGCAAATCATACTGGGTCTGTAACCTTCTTAGCTGCTTCTGCAACTCCAGGGCTTCGGCCTTATATGCCAAAGTTGCATCTCTGGAAATTGAAATGAAACAATCAGCAAGCATAGGGTTGATCTTGACGACATCATATGGCCAACAAGATGTAGGGTACTCATGAAAACCTCCGATGGACCGATGGCCTAAGGAGATCTCACACAGTAAGGATCTAGACACTCGTGCTTGTAAAATGCACGAAAGATAAACCAAATCCTGGGCACATTCTTGCCAATTTCTTATAGTGAATATCAAAATAACCTTTTGATGCTAAAACCGAAAGTACTAAATAAAACAAATGAATGAAGTTCTAACCTTATTTCTTTGACGCTTTCTTCGGCTCCAAAAACTGCCTCCTGGTTATTTCTCCTAGAAGAAAATGCTGAAATGCTATCATAAGCCAGGTCCAGGTCCTCTCCCTGATACCATGAAACATGTTATGGACCATAAGAATACAACAAAGGGAGATCATGACGAAGAAAGCATACAAATATGAAGAACCTCCACAGCCAGAACAGAATCAAACGGAAGCAAGCAAAAGAAAGCACACGAAGTTACCTCTAATAGTTTTCCCTCTTGTAAAAATTGCTCGTACCTACACCCAGAAAGAAGACAATAACCCATCAATGCACAGATACTCAGACTATCTACAGATAGGTTTCGATTCATCAATTTTCAGAGCAAATTACTTGAAAGTTCTTGAATTTTTCAATGTGTTCCACAATCATTAAAAGCATAAACAAAAGGAGTTCTTCTAATCGCAAAGATACCAGATTCGCCAACCTTGCATAAATCCACACAAATTGCAGGAATACTACGCCAAATTCGCCAAAACAAGAACCAAATGCAACTAATTTCGGCAAATATTCCAGGATTCCAACTCCGATTCTCGATGAAACAGCACAGATGAGAAAGATTCTCGAGTTGTCGAAGATTATTCGATCAACAACAAAGTAACCGAATCAAGAGAGAGAGAGAGAGAGAGAGAGATGGAACACACAGGCAGAGTTCGGAGACAGAGAGAACATTAGAAGGGCGGAGAGAAGAACAGATCCAGTCGAGGATGGGGCGGGCATCGTCGTACTGAAACGGCCACTCGAAGCTGTCGGGATCCAACTTTCCCGCGCCTTCGAACCCTAACTCCGATGCCAAACAGCACAACCTCGCTCCGCTCATCTTCTTCTTCTTCTGCGATCGGCGCCGGTCGCCGTCGGAATCCGTTGGGGGGCTCTCTCTTGAAATGAAATTTGAAATACGAAAATTTGCTATATCTTAAAAAAAAGCATAATGATAGTTTTTATGGGAGAAATATTTATATACTGTAATCTAACCAAAAAGAAAATTATATTATATACATACTGTAAGTTTCCAATGCTTTTTTCTGCTCAAATCCAATTTCGCGGTGTATGAAAGTTATCTCAGTTGTCAGGGAAGAAATGGGATAATTCTATTTAAAACCCTATCATTTTTATTATATCCATAAAGATCCCTATACTTTTAAAATTTTATATAAAACCCTCACCTTTTCATTTTAGTCATTTTAAACCCTATCATTATGTCGTCAAGAAACGATCTTTCCGGCACGTATTCTTCTTCCTGCTCTTGTTTGTTTTTCTTCTTCTCCTCGGACAATCTCTCTCGCAAATTTCGGGTGTCTTTCTCATCAATTCTTTTTTTTTTCTTTTTCATCAATTTTGATTTTTTTTTATCATCAATTTTGTGTTTTTTAGGGCTCATCGCGGCGAAAAAGACGACGAATCAACGGCAATTTATGGTCACAGCACAAGGATCAATGGCCTTCATGTGGAGAATTCTGACAAGATGACAGTGATTTTCGACGAAAGTTGTGAACGGAGAGATTAAGGGGGATTCGACTTCAATGGCAACGAAGAAGAAGAAGAAGAAGAAAGAGAAATCAAGAATAAATCGGTAAAAGGTGAATTTCTGGGTTTAGGTTTAAATTGGTGAAAATGAAAAGATAAGGGGTTATTATGTAATTTCGAAAACCTCGTGACTTAATTGTTGTAAAACCCTGTGGAGAACAAACATTTACGAACTTGCTTCAAACTGAATCCTAAACGCTGACGGGTTCATTGGTTCAAGTCCGACAAAATCTCCGCACCTCGGTTAACATTTCTGCCGCGCAAACCCAGTCGTTTGGGTCAGCTTCTTGTCGATCCTATCACATGTTTTTGCAGATATAAGTCGGAGTTTCATTGGATCTACGTTCCCATGACATTGGAACTGCTTGAAATCTGGAGAAGCTGATGGATTCAATCCCTCAAGTATTTCTTGGTATCTAGGGGCCGTCTCTGCCTGTTCCAACTCGAGTCTCTTGAATCCGAGGAAGTCGGTGCAGCGTTCATCGGCGCAAAGGCTGCAACACAGATTTTGCGGAACAGAAATGAGAAATACAGCCATTCCGTATTGACAAACTCAACGAGCAGATCGAAGACTTGATTTGCATCTAAGATAAGAAGGGCCTAGAAGGGTACACTGTCACTGTGTTCAGATGTTCAGTTCTTGCACATCCAATAAACAGCTGATAAACTGAAGTCAGCATGGGGTGTGTAAGAAGAAATAGGGTATGCCTAGGATTTTGACATATGACACAACTCCGATCACAAGCATGAAAGACTGGTGAAGTTAAATCGATTGCATGGAGAGAACTAATTAGTCTAAGAGACCAGTGTTTCCGATGTGTAAATAGGCTATGCTGGAGACATAGATGCTAATAAGAAAGACAAAAGAATGAGAAGATCAAATCTCTACAAAGAAGTAAGTAGAACATATAACATACAGACAGACAGACAGCATACAGAGCCTGTGAGCATGAAACTCAAACATGAGAAACCGAGAGAGAGAGAGTTTCCTAAAATATAAATTCAACTGATCAAGAATATTCAAGCAGCACAACATGTTAGACCTGTTAATGTGATTTTCTGACAGCAACATGCTATATGACAAACTCCATGCATCTATTTTCTCATCTCAAGAAATCTACAATACTAACAGTATCTCCTCTTTTAGCAGACATTAGTGATAAAAATATGCGTTCTCCCAACTTGCCAGCAGATTGCAAGATAATATTATTATACACTCACACTCGACAAAACTAAGGCAGCTCAAGATTTTTTGATTAATCGGTTTCTCATCTGGACACTGATTCCTGATGTTGGCTTTTCACTTCAAAGAACCAGAACAGATCATATTACAGCTCTAGAGCTGTACTGTTCATGCGGCAAAGATCTTCAAGGAAACACAAAAGGGTTGGTTTTTCCGGAACAAACACTTACCTTTTTCTCTCATTCTCCGTTCTCTGTCATATTCAAATCGGTCCCGAATTTGACTGACTTTATCCCAGTTACCAGCTTGTGCGGGTTTATTGAAACCCTGGTCCTGCAGTCAGTTCAATTCTCTCGGCCATCAGACACTAAATATTTCTGATTGTGTATCTTTGCCAACTACATCATAAATAATTGAGTTCGTTACCTTCATATGATCACCATGCGGCCGCCTGCTTCTGTGAAGACCACGGGAAACAAACTATCAGAGATCAACCATTGGTACCTAGATATTATTACATTGTGAAACATGGTTTGTTTAAATGAGAGAAACCTGTATGGATTAAAGTCTTCATCATCTTCCTCAGCAGATTCATAGTTTGCATGATCCCTTGCAATCTTTTTGGAATAGCCTTCATCCCAGTAAAGCCTCTCCCAATTCTCTCTAAGCTCGTTATACAATTCCATGTACTTTTTGCACCACGGCTCATGTTCCTAACCATCAGAATTACATCAAGATACGACTGCAAATGGTTCATCCCACTAATTCAAAACCCTAGTTGTCTAAAGCAGCAAAATGCATCAATCAAATTCCTTTCACTAATTTCCCTAGTAATTCAAATGATAGAAATCGAACCGCGGTAGCAATTCCTCTTCGTTTTCGCTCTTCTAATTACTCAGAAAACAAGCGAAAAAAAAAACCCTAAAACAGAGAGAGGAGTTCATATCAACAGACCGATTCTTTGAGGACGAGTCGCGTGCGGCGCATGAACTGCTCGCGGAGCTGCTTGCGGCGTCTGTTGGGTATATTGTCCCTGGCGATGACGAATCGTTCACGCGGAGGGACGTGATCTCCGATCTCGTGCATCTCTCCGTCAACGGCCCACCACTCCGATTTCTCATCCGCCTTCTCCAGCGGCAGCGACGGCAACTTGCTCCGCCGCCTGTTCTGACCTGCCTGCGTCCTCTCGAACCGGAGCTGGGAAACACCGAGTCGGAGCCATGGCGGAGATGCTCTGAGCCGTCTGACAGCTGAGAACATGGTGGCGCTAATACTCCGGCAGACGATTTTTCAAGCGGTCGAGGTAAGTGAAGAAGATGAAAAGAAGAAACCTATATTTTGCTCATACCGGGAATTTCCGGTTATCGAACGGTTCCCTTAGAAAACCGCTTTCGATTACCATAACAAAGTGTATATTCGGCTCGGTTTGAGAATTACCGAAAAAAATGAATAGAGACATAACACAAGGTTAGCATAGTATTTGAAAACATATTAATTAAGGTTAATAAAGATATAAAGATATAATGCTTCGGTTTAATAAAGGTTAATAATTTATTTTTTTTAAACGTAATAAAAGAAAAACCAAAGTTAGATTGACCTTAAACAAAAAACTAGCGGCCAAGCCCATGTTGGGTTCACTTTGTAGGATTCGTTTGGGTCTAAAATACATATAAATGGGCTTTTATTTGAATCCTAAAGCCTAAAATAAATCTCACCAACGCTCGATAAATGACAAACGATGGCCTTATATATGATTTTTTTTCCCCCCCTATTTCTACTCGAATTTTTCACAAAAAAAAATATAGAATATATTTGTGTAATACAAATAATCCCTTATTATTTCTTTAGCAAAAAAAAAAAATCATTATTCTTCAGCCTTAATATCTAAAATCATCTAGACACGGGATTTCCTATTTAATTATTCTCTCTCAAACTACATAAATTAGCAAACTATCACGTATAAGGCAGAACGAAAGTGTTCGATTTAGAACAACAGAGAGATGAATAAACAAAACCCTAGCTACAGGAAAACATTGATAACAACATGAAATATACATATATGTATATATGTGTGTATATAGATGGTATCATCAGGATCGGTGACAGAGGCATCTGTAATGGTAAGGGCTGTTGAAAGGGTCATTGCCTTCAACGGGGACTTGCTGGGCGCTGCACCTGTATCTGCATCCCCTACATTCATTGTATGTGCATACCGGCGCCGTCGATCCAATCATCTTCCTTCCCCGCCCCTCCACCCTCTCCCCTCTTCTTCCCCCCTGTTTTATTTATTCATACCCACGTTATTGATTATATGAAAATCCACGTGAGAGAATCTTGATTGTTTTCTTGCGGCGTGATTCTGTGTATATATTCACCTGACGTGGTTGCAATGGCGGAGAATTCATCGCTCTCTGTGCAGAGGGACATGGGGCTGGAGGCTCATTTCCAGATCCTGAAATGATGTTTAATATATACATTTATGCAAAGTTAGACGTTTCACACATTTCTTATAGAAGGAGAAAGGGAAAACACATTTCTTGCGCAAGAAGAATGGGACATTTCTTGGAGGCTTAGCTATGGAGGATTCAGCGCAAATACAAGTGATTCGAGAGGCAGTACTGTGTGTGTATATATGTATATACACCAAGAAGAATGAGTGTGAAATTTCTATGGAGAAAGATATCAGCAAGAAAAAAAGAACGACGAAGTTAAGATGAAGCGACCTTCATCAACCAGAAGAATTACAGTGAAGAGCAGCAAGAGCAGGCTGCTGGCTTTAATGGCGGCCATACTCTCTCTCTCTCTCTCTCTCTCCTGGTTTTCTTTGGCAAAGTTTTGAACGTAGGAAAAAGAACTCGAAACGCGGAGAAACTGACGATAAAGATAGAGAAAGGGGTGGTTTCTTTGTTTTTATATGAGCTTGTGAACGTGATTTTGTGTTGTGTTCGAGTCATGACCATAACCCTTGTCAGATAAATTTCCCTCCCCTGACCCCTCCTCTCTTATACACATGTCCTGATATTTTTTTTGTACTGATTATTAACCTAAACCCATACAAAATGTGATATATATATATATATATATAATTTGATAATCATATTAGTTTTATCTATAAAGTATGATTTTATAATATAAGATTGAGTGATTCAACTGATAACAAAATTTATTCTCAAACTCAGGTTCGAATCTCTCTGTTCACATGGGAACATTCACATTGTAAAAAAAAAAGGTTCCACGTGAATGAATAAACAAACATCATTAAATGAATCGGATATTTATATATATATATATATATAATTTTTTATTCAAAAGTTTAATTTTTAAAATTTAATTTTCGAGAGAGTGGAAGAAAGATTCTGAGGAGATAGACTGCAGTTATGCAGAGAAGGAAATGACACGACCCACAAAATAAGAGGGGTCCCCCTTTTCCTTCACCAAACAGACATATTTTCTTCTGATTCCTAAATTTTATTTTATTTTTATCAGTTTCGTATAAAATTCCGAAATCGCCCCTAAGATCATCTTCACAAATCGTGGCCTTTTGCGTAATTTCATATAGGGGGTAAAAATGGCATTAGATCATGGTCGTGGTTTCTAGACCCACGGAACCAACAAGAAGGTAAGGAGCCTTTGTTTTGTCTTCATCCGCAACTTGACAATGTCCACAGCCGGCAAGAGACATCACGTGCATGTCTCGTGCTTATATACATGTTTTCTTATGATGATACATTAATTCTAATATGTCGCGCCCATAATTTTTTATTAAAAATCTCTAATGAAAAATATTAAAATATATACCTTTTAAAAAAATAAGGTATTAATATAAATGAAAAAACAATATTAAAATATGTAAATAAGAATAGTTTAGACATTAAAATGTATTTATTTATATAATATAATTATATAAGCACACATTTTTATTGGCTTTTGATTCAGAAGGAGATGAGAGAGATTGGTTGGTGTTTTGAGTGCGGAGGTTCATATTTTTTTTAGTGTTTTATAGTGTTTCGATCCTTCTAATTTTACTCTCATAATTTTAATTTTTTTTATCAGTTTAATGAATCTATAAAAAAAAAAAATATTATGAATTGGCACAATATAGATCAAACATGAACAACATCCTCCATATTTTCTGGAATTTTAAATGTGAGTTATTGAATACCTTTAAAAATAATACAACATATTAAAAAATCAAAATCGAACTTTGAAAAAAAAAAAGAATATATACAAGGTGATACATATTAGAAAATTATAATCTCTTCAGGAAGTATAGATTACAAAAGTACAAGAAAGCAAATTGGGCTGTGGCCCAAAATAATAAAAAATCTGGATCACATCTGAGACGAACCATTAACATAAAGTTGGGCCGACACTTGGGCTTCATTTGGTCCCAATTTAACTTTAGTTTTTTGACATAAAGTTTAATGCGCATTATTACACAGGCAAGAACAGATCATCCATCAGTGAGTATTGGGCCATTATTGGGCCAATGTGATATGTGACCCACAAGTCACAACGTTATTTTGGGCCTTTGTTAATTCAATCACGCATATATAATGTCGCTTAAAACCTAATTTCACCTTCTTCTCTCAGCTAGGGTTTTCGTGGGCAGACGCGGATCTTCTTCCACCAGGTTTGCTTGCTTGCTTCCTCACTGTAACCTCAATCCGAACAATAGAGTTCTCTAATTTTTGTACCAGTCAGCGAGAATCATCGAAGAACCTTAAGGGACGTGTTTTTAGCCGGAGTGGAATCGTGTATCTCTTCACATTTCTATGATAATTGTCTTAGATTCTTCGTTTTGATGTCTAAGATCTTGATTTAGATCTTCAAAGAATAATCTCTTCGTCCTTATACGCCCGTGGATTGTGTTTACTCAAGACTTGAGAAAGGAGTTTGTATGATTTTCCGCGACTTCCTTGTTCGTGGCCATAATGAGTGATTCTGTAAAGTTTTAACGTTTTGTAGGTTTAAGTTCCGTGCTGTAGCGATTTGAGTGTTTCCAGGTTGTTTACTGTCGCTTCTGAGGTCAATGCCATATTTCTGTTCAACTTTCTATATGAATCATTCTTCTCATGAAGATGTCATATTTTGTTATCTAGAATAAAATGGCGGTCCCGTTGCTGAGCAAGAAGATCATCAAGAAGCGTGTCAAGAAGTTCAAGAGGCCCCAGAGTGACCGAAAGATCTCTGTCAAGGTTTGTTCCGGTTTATTCTTGTTGAGCTTGCTGAGATAACTATAGTATTCTGTAACTCCATGATCGTTTTCGGGTAGAGACGAGTTACCGAAACCTGGATCAGTTGTTCCTCGTCCTCCTCGGGTTTTCCGGATCGTTTTGCTTAAACATGTACACTCTGTTCATTGCTTGTCTATTCTGCACTATATAGCTTGCTCTTCATTAGTTCTAAAACCATATTCTTGCAAAATGCAATACAACTCACATCTCCTCATTGTTTTTTGTAGTTTTTGACCAACTTGTTGTATGAAAAGTCCCCTAAATGTGCTTGATCCCACCTACTGTCACGTCTGGATTTGTAGGAAAACTGGAGGAGGCCAAAGGGTATCGATTCACGAGTTAGGAGAAAGTTCAAGGGATGCACACTTATGCCCAACATTGGATACGGATCAGACAAGAAGACCCGTCACTATCTCCCCAACGGATTCAAGAAGTTTGTTGTGCACAACGCCAGCGAGCTCGAGCTTCTCATGATGCACAACAGGTACAACTAACTCCTCACCGTTCTCTGCTCACTTTCTTGTTTGCATTGAATCTTGACGAAGTTGCTCGGTTTCCATCTGAATCGGCCAACAGGACTTACTGTGCCGAGATTGCCCACAACGTCTCGACGAAGAAGAGGAAGGAGATTGTCGAGCGTGCTGCCCAGTTGGACGTTGTGGTCACTAACAGGTTGGCTAGGTTGCGCAGTCAAGAAGACGAGTGATGTGTGTTTTATTTTCCCTTTGTGCCATCATATCTATCTCTCTTCTTGGTTACATTCCTGGATTATATTGTTTGTTTTGTTGGTCAAGATTTTGATGTTGTCTTTGAACTCAAAGTCTTCAGTTTTAAAACATGAGACCAAACTGAATCTTGTTTTGCCTTTTTCACCTTCTTCATCTGAATTTGTTGAAGTTCTACGGTCAGACCGTCATCTTATATTTTTATTAAGACGCTGCAGAAATTATATGGACGATAAACAAAATGGAGATACATTCCTACATGATCTGAAATGGTCGAGATATTTTTGTATTAATATAACTAGTTGTTTTATTGAAAGTGTTTTTGTATTAAGTTTTTTTAAATATGTTGATGGATGAAATTTCGATTTGAGTCCATCAACATGTAAGGGTAGACAATTTGAGTCCGATCGAAAATTATCGGGTTTTGGACTGAAAAGTATTAGTCCAAAAAATGTTGGGAGAAAACCCGACTCGGTCCGAGTCTGACCTAAACCCAAGTTCTATAGAATCGGATTTCGGATTCGATTTATTAGATTCAAAAATTTTTGGATCAACCCAAAATTTTTGGACCGAATACGAATTCAGATCGAGTTAGCCCCATTGACATCCTTAAATTCACGTGAATGTTTCCACTCATTTTCCTTCCAATCTTCACCCAAGAAAAATAATCAAGTCATTCAATGTTGGCTTCAAAATAGTCAAGTCAAATGATTTTAGATTAACATTAATTATAGTCAAACATAAATGTATATATTTTAGTTATGGTATATAAATGGTTGAACTAAATACAATCACTCAATTAGGAGTTTTCTACACTTTTCGGGTTCATGTTTGTAAACCTTTTATCGTATCTTCGCAAATACCAACCTAACCTAGGATTCTAGGTTTGCTCAGGACATTTCTTCCCTAAGAAAAAAATTGGGTCTTTTAAGTTTATTTTTACGAGTTCGATTAGAGATTTCGGTTCTTTCATTCCGATCCGGCAATCCCCTATCACCAATCTCGTGCATGTGTGTATAGGTCATTGGAACCGTCGTATAAAGCTATGGCGTCGAGGTGATACATGGCCTGCTTATAGTCATCCATGGAGGCGAGGAGGTTGGCGATTCTCTGTTCCCACCTTAGCCCCATCGGTCCGGGTCCGGGTCCGATCGGAAACCCGATTCTGGGGGTTTCTGGTTGTGGGTCTGGTTCAGACGGTGACCGGAGGGTGAAAGCGTCGAATCTAAAAAACGACTGTGTTTTCTGCAAGATTATCAGTGGGGAGTCTCCCTCTCTCAAGGTGACACGCCTTTCTCTGCGTTTTTTCGGCTCTTAACCTCTTTCAGATTCTGACAATGGTTTATCTCTTTCTTGCCTGTTCCCCTTATGTCTTTTTGTGGGTTTCTGCAGTTGTACGAGGATGATATGTGCCTATGTATTCTTGATACGAATCCTCTAAGCCATGGGTAAGGTATTGTGTGTTGCGTTTTGCCTTTAAGCTTACTCAAGAACGGAATACGAACCAGACCCAGTTCGGATTCGCTTGTTGTTGTTGTTGTTGCAGAAATGATTTGTTTGTTGGGTTTCTTTCTGAGTAGGTTGTCTTAATCAAGTTGGAGGCTTTTGCTTTGTCTAGGAATTCTCACATAGGTGTTATGGTTATTTATCAGTACATGGTAAATGATGGAAATCAATCTCGAATTGGAGCTCATTGAACGGCTTTTCGAAAATGGCCATGGACATCTTTTTTTGTGGTTTATGATTGTCGATTTCTTGGATTTTCTTTTTGAGGGGGGTTTCGATTCGAGAGGCATTCTCGTCATTCTGAAGCAGCCATTCACATTTTCTTTCTCTTCTTTCCGGGCTTTTCAGGCACTCTCTTATCATTCCCAAGTCTCATTTTCCAACCTTGGAGTCAACTCCTCCTCCGGTAAGTGAATCTTTCGCCTTTGTTTTCTCCAAGAATTGTATATTCGTTCACGGATTCCGCAAATCTTTGCTGTACTCCTCTGTGGAATGGGTGCACGAGAATCAACCCTTCATTTCGCCCCGTGTTATTGTTGTATGAAAATTTATACAACAGTTGTGCAGATGCAATAAGATTTCTCTATGGATCACATCATGTGCAGGTGGTTGCTGCCATGTGTTCCAAAGTGCCCCTTATCAGCAATGCCATCGTGAAAGCCACTGGAAGCGGTAAGTTCGGTACAAATCCTCGAAACATCGGTCTTCCCTTCATATAACCACCGTCCTTTTTCAACCTCTGACGTAACCTTGCTAGAGGATTTGTTTGTTGTCTGGAATTGTTGGAAAGCTTGTGAAGCTTTTGTCATTGAACTGTTTTTGGACACTCTGTTTCCAAGAACAGAACGTAGAGCCGAAGATCTCATTCATGGTGTTGTATTGTATGTACCATTGCAGATTCATTCAACTTGCTTGTTAATAACGGTGCAGCGGCCGGGCAAGTCATATTTCACGTATGTCCCCCCCTTTCGCAACCCTTTCTTCGTCATAGAAGATTCCGGAAATCTTCTACTGGGACTGATTTAAAACCCATCATTGCTTTTTCCCTTTTTCCAGACTCACATCCACATAATCCCGCGGAAGGAGCGCGACTGCTTATGGGCTTCCGAGGTACATATACTTATCTATTGGCTTATCTTATCTCTGTAAACTCATAGACGAACGCTGAAACTCGAAAAAGTTTGAATTTTCTCTTGTTTTTTTGGTGTTTGGCCGTTGGTTTTCTTGGTTCCAGAGCTTGCGGAGACACATTCTTAAACCAGACAAGGAAGCTTGCCAACTCGCATTTCGTGTCCGAGAACAGTTATCTACCTCTGATGAACACCTTGGTCAGCAACAGCAACCGCAACAGCAACAGCAACAGCAATCCAACCTTTCATGAAATGGGAAAAATCTCTTTTTTTGTCCTATTTTTTTTCCATGACTCTTACAAAGCCATTTTTGTAACTTTAAATACATATATGTATATAGTTCATTATCCAATTTTATTTTCCTTTTGATCATATTCCTCAATTGTTGTTTCTGTCTATTTATATAATTTCTATTGTTAAACGTTTATAATCACATTCTATTTTTTTTTAATCATGAACACATTAATCTCTCTTAAACAAAGTGGAGTCAACTATGAACCACCATCAAATTTAGTAATTAGATAATTGATTTCATTGGAAATTGGATTATTTTAATATTTCAACTTGAATTTGAAGGTTTTTTTTTTTTCCAAACTAATGAATTTACAAATCTCGTTAATTGTTAGAAGATAGAAATACAAACATAGGGTTTAGGTTGTGTCTACATAGAATTAGATATTTGGAGCTAATTAAATTAAATAAAAACAAATGGATAAAATAAAATCACTAAAAACAGAAGAAATGGATTAGCGTTTTGACCCGGTTCCAATCGGGTCGACCCGGTAAGAGCCTTCAATGATCTGCCAAATCAGATTCTATAAATATTTTTATTTTGTTTTGCTTTTCATTTCTTCTCTTCTCGTCTGCGTCCCGAAATTTCGCGGCTTCTTTGCGTCTGAAAGAGACACCGGAACGTTCCACGCACGCGCCGTCGCAAATTCATCTTTTTGTCTTCCGACCTTCTGCGCACAGACAGAGAACTTGTTGAGAGAGCGATTGTGACTTGGTCTTCGAACTCATTAGATGGTCTCAGGCGCGGTCTCAGCCATGGCGGCGAAACAAGCCGATCGTCTCAAGGAAGATGGGAACATTTACTTTAAGAAAGAACGTTTCGCTGCCGCAATCGATGCTTATACCGAGGTAAATGGCTTTCCCTAGGTTTTGGTTTCTCTCTTCGTTTCGGTCTTTAGGGTTTTGGTTTTTGTTCGTGCTCGTGTTATTCGGAGAATTTTGATGGGTTCAGCTTAGGATTCATGCGTGGGGTGGAAAAATCAGTAAATTTTGATGCTTTCATGACTGCAAAGTTAGGTTTTGGATTGATTTCTTCGTCTAATATGTCGACTTAGAAATGTTTTCATAATTTGACTTAGAAATGTTTTGATAAGTTGGGCTACAGCAATGGTTGCTTTAGAACAGGAATATTTCTGTGATTCTTGATGAGTTATAAGTGTACAAAGATTTATGTAAGAATCCCAGTTTGGCAACAAGGACTTATACGTTTGTTTTTCGACGATTTTATTGTCATTTCTGTGGAATTTTAAAGGCGATAACCCTGTGCCCTCATGTTCCTGTCTACTGGACGAATCGAGCTCTTTGCCACCGGAAGCGGAAGTATGTTCTGCCAAAGAGATCCATACCCAGTATCCATGTTCCCTATACAATTTCCTTTGAATTTTGTTTCTTTGTTTATCTCTCTCACTCAGTGACTGCCCTCAATTCAGTGATTGGACTAGGGTTGAAGAGGATTGCCGGAAAGCCATTCAGCTTGACCACAAATCTGTCAAGGTTAGGCAAAGTTTTGTTCCTTCCTATGCTTTTCAACTATACTATGGTGGAATATTAGAATTGAAAGTTTAGAGTTTGGTTTCTGAGGATTAAATGTATCTGCGTCGAGGGCATTCATGGATGCACAGCATATTTTAGTTATGTGCTTGCTCAAAGTTGTTTTCTGGCTAGGGGCTTCATTGTTATCTGGCCCAGAAGAAATGAACTTGATTGTTCTTCTGCTGATGTTTAGCTCACTTTTTGTTCAGCTCGCTATGGATGAAAACTATCAATATTCTTCCTTTCTTTGTTCCTCGTATATGGGAGTCCTATGTTATTCACTAATATTTCAATACAGGCCCACTATATGCTTGGACTTGCATTACTACAAAAGGAAAAATACGCCGATGGAGTCAAAGAATTGCAGAAGGTATGTAACCGAATTTGTCTTTAAGGCTTAAGCTTGTTTGTAAATCGTCGTGTTGGTAGAGTTGCATTTGGCACGACTTACCTATCACCTTGATGGTGTAGATGCATCTTAAAAAAGAGGTATAAGATTGCAAGATTTGTATGAAAAAATGCATGAGGGGAACCATTAGAAGAAAATGTGATATGATGATGCGTCCCACATCGGTTCCAGAGAGGGATCTAGGGTTCATTCCTCCACTCTTGAGCTAGCTTTTGTGGTGGAGTTAGGGCTCAACTTATATCAAAATGGCAGAGCACTGATCTTTAAACCTGTTAAGCATGATACTATGGATATAAGTTATGATGTGTAAAATCATGGAAGCAGGGTTTATTTGTTTATATGCTAAAAAATATAGTTTTGATTCTTGTTTCTCGTTAAATAGGCTTTGGATCTCGGAAGAGGTGCAAACCCAACAGGATATATGGTAGAAGCAATCTGGCAAGAGCTTGCAAAAGCAAAATTCATGGAGTGGGAATGGATATCTGCCAAGCGTGAATGGGAGTTAAAGAATTTGAAGTAGGTTATTTCTAGTGAGTTTATCCTTTCTTCTTCCGATTGCATCACTCTGGTCTGCATGAATTGCAATTGGCAATGGCTTTACAGAATCTTTTCGTGTCGGTCTCAGGGAAATTTGTGAAGACGCACTTTGTCAAAAACATGCTCTTGATATGTCTCGAACGGAAGAAGAGTCCTCGGAAGAAGCCAAAGCTTCCCATTCCAAACAATTGGAAGCTCTCGAACGAGTGTTTGAGAAAGCTGCAGAAGACGACAGAGCGACAGAGGTGTGTTATTGTTATACTCTCCTTTCCATTTTCACGGTCCTTAATTTGCCGGTCTTGGTGCTGAAAAGAATTACCATCTGAGAAAATTTCAGGTGCCGGATTATCTGTGTTGTAAGATCACTCTTGAGATTTTCCGAGACCCTGTCATTTCTCCAAGCGGGGTTACGTATGAAAGATCAGCCATCCTTGAACATCTTCAAAAGGTGAAATGTCTTTGCCATATATACATCTTGGAATCATGGATTGGATTGCAATGGTTGATTAATGGTTGCCCATTCGGTTTGATTTGGAAGGTAGGTAGGGAAGTTTGATCCGATTACGCGTGAAACACTCGATCAGACCCAACTGGTTCAGAACCTGGCCATCAAGGAGGCAGTGGCTGCATATTTGGATAAGCATGGTTGGGCTTACAGGATAGGATGACTGCTTCTCAAACCAGGAAAACATTCGATATTTTGGTACATATTTTTGGGGTGGGGTTTATTTAAAGGAAGCAGAATCATAACATATGGTGCTTGCTTCCTTTACTGTCATATTCTGAATGACTTTGGTCTCCTCCTGAGATTGTGGAAGACTCCAATCTTAAGATGTGGGAATTGCCTTTCCTCTTCCTATATTATGGATTCGTTGTCACAACTTTTTTAATAGCTCACCCCATTTCCATCAATTCCCAATATGAAGACTAGTGTTCGAACAACAACCCCTACTCTCTCTCTCTCTCTTGGGGGTTTGGCAAGAATGTGAGTGTTGGATTTTGAGGGCGATTTGGGTTCATTTCAATCATGGGCTCAGGGATATTCGATCATTTTGGATATCTACAAAAACATTAGAAATATATGAAATTAGGAATCGAACTGGTAAGGAGTACAAATGTGATGATGGATGGGAGGAGTCCACAGTCTAGTGGATAGTGACAACTCCTCTCTACTAAGAGATTGTGGATTCGAAACCAAGATATGGAAACTCTTCTTGAGCCGGTCAGCTTTACAAGGTCGGTTTATCTGTTCTGCGTAGTTTGCCGATTACTGCGCATAGCGATGGGTTTTCTGAGATCCGCGATGCTGTCTTGATGTCGTTCTTGTCCGATACATGGATTGAGAGACGTTGTGGTGTCCAGAGTTCGACCCGAAGGGTTGAAGGATAAGGGTTTTCCATCGTAATAAAAAAAAATGTGATGATGGATGATGATTTATGCAGAGGGCCCATGAAAAGGTGATGGTGGCATTATCCATACCATACATGATGTTCTCTGCTCACATGTTATGTTGCCTTGTTCCTTCCAACTCTTTGGTTTTGGTACCATCCAATCAGAATAATCCCAAATCATATCTATCATTTCGGCAATCACATTGTCTTTGTCCTCCCCTTGTTTCTCTCTCTAAATATTGTTCTCTTCATATGTTTTTTGTTGTTAGAATTTTCTACTTTGGATTGCGTTTTGTTTTCTTTGCTCTCGTTATGGTCTTTGCGTATTTCAGGTTTTGGTTCTCATATTTTTTTTAAAAAAAACGATAACCATTCAATTTAGATTCGTATAATTTGGTAATAGTAAAATAAATCCGATCTATAGGTTCGGTTATTGTCATGTAAACGGGAACGGGTAATTTATATTCGATTTGGAGTTAAGAGGGAAAATTTAATGAATGAATTGGACAATAAAGCCATCACTTCCTTGTGAGCCGACAGACGACGGGAGAGCCAAGAGTGGTTGGCTCAACTGGTAAGTGGGTATGTGCAAAGAGTGCTCCACCTAGGTTCGAACCCCTTGACAAATCATATATTATAAAAAAACAGACGACGGGAGGGCAAAAAAAAAACTAATCATTTTTGACAATTAGTGAAATCGGCTAATTATATAGTAAGGCTCGTGAATTTTTGTTGTTGGAATTATTGATTATCTAATTTATCTTATACAGATTCTAAGTTTATACCCTATAGATTATTTAACATTTCTGTACCGTTGAATTAATTATTTACCCCTTTTCGGGATTAAAGTTTTAAAACATGTAGACTTGTGATATTTTTCCTTTTATATGCACAAACAAATTAAGCCTCCTTTAATTAAACAAACTCGTAAAATTTATATTTATCTGTTTTAATCTTCTTTTAATTTAATCATACGATTTGCAGAATCATGACACTTAACGATTAGAGTTTTACCAAATCAGATTGAATAAACGGGTACATGAAATCGGTTAGATGCCATGATGATGTACCGGCAAAAATGTTATGAACTTGTGTAATATTTTGAGTTAGTCTAATTAAAATCTGCCAAAAAAAAAACATTACGAAGACTAAATTTGGTTAGTGTATGGACCGACATGATCCATCTACTTGGGTTTCTGTCAAACCAAACAACTTTTGTGTCATTAAAAATAAAGGTGTCGGTGCCCATCAAAGTGACAATTTGGTTATAACACTAATCTTCTGAAATAATTTTATCCGTGTTAATGATAATAATGATTTTAACCCCACAACTTTTTCCGTGTGATAGATAACGCAGAAACCCCTCAAGTTTTATCTAAATATTTCGATTTATATATTTTGCCAATATATAACATGTCATTTAATATTAATATACCATATAATATATACCTAATCAACTCATCATATTATTGTAATCTTCCTTCACACATATAAAGCTTGTGTTGACCGCCCATGTATCTCTTCCCAAAACGGCAATACCATTTTATTTTCCATGGATTGCAAAATCGGTTAGATGCCATGATGATGTACCGGCAAAAATGTTATGAACTTGTGTAATATTTTGAGTTAGTCTAATTAAAATCTGCCAAAAAAAAAACATTACGAAGACTAAATTTGGTTAGTGTATGGACCGACATGATCCATCTACTTGGGTTTCTGTCAAACCAAACAACTTTTGTGTCATTAAAAATAAAGGTGTCGGTGCCCATCAAAGTGACAATTTGGTTATAACACTAATCTTCTGAAATAATTTTATCCGTGTTAATGATAATAATGATTTTAACCCCACAACTTTTTCCGTGTGATAGATAACGCAGAAACCCCTCAAGTTTTATCTAAATATTTCGATTTATATATTTTGCCAATATATAACATGTCATTTAATATTAATATACCATATAATATATACCTAATCAACTCATCATATTATTGTAATCTTCCTTCACACATATAAAGCTTGTGTTGACCGCCCATGTATCTCTTCCCAAAACGGCAAAACCATTTTATTTTCCATGGATTGCAAAAAAAAAAAAAAAAAAAAATATATATATATATATATATATATATATCATTTATGAGTAAATATAATTTTTTAGATACAATATAGTTTAGTTGTATGCATGATACTCGAATATTTTATTTTAGGATAATATTAGGGTTTAACTTCAATTTTATTGAGTATTTTGAATTCAGACTATATCCTATTTAGTATTTACGTGTTTTCTTGTAGTATTATATTTTATTAGATTCAGTTTATTTGATTTCAAGATAGATATTTTTTTTTTAAAAAAAGTACAACACTGTTTTACTATTATCTTCGGACAATGACATACACATTGTAAACATAAATAGTTTCACGATTCCCTCTACGGCTCTACCTCCCGTATGTTTTAAAATAATCAATATATATATATATATATATATTTACAAACGAACAAAATATATATAAATTGGTTTTCATTTTGGCAGTCAATCAATTGATGTTTTCTCATTCGCAAACCATCGATCGTTGTTTTTACTAAGATTATGGAACTACCACACATTGCACACAATTCACTGCCTATTCGACAATTTCATTTGCCAACTTCAAGGAAGATATATTAAATAAGTCCCATATCTTCAATAAAGTTAATTTTTCTAATTTGTTAAAAAAAAAATATAAGTTTCTTAGCGCGCATATATTTGGTAGTTTGATAAATTGTAACATCGAAGAATCGTTTCCCTCCCCTCGTATTTTAGCAATTATCAATGAGAACTAGCTCATGTTTTTATTTAATGGGTAATGTTATTTGCACTCCATATTTTTAAGGGTAAAACCCTAAAAAACCTCAAACTTGTAAAAATATATACAAATAAACCTTCAACTTGCAAAACTGTCATTCAAACCTCAAACTTGCAATATGTAACTAAATAAAACCTCGAATTTGCAAATTATTGTTGTAATAACCCGTTGACTTGTTTGACCACAATTTCAGGCGATCGAAAATCCACATTGGCTCGAAAAGTTGATGTCAACGTGTCTACGTAACCAATTTTAACTGAATAAACCTTCAATCTGATTATGTTCTGTTATATTGGCCCGGAAAACCAGCTTTATTTATTTTCAAATCGGATTAAATTTCGACCCAAAAAATGCTGACGTGGTAAAAATTCATTTAAAGTTGGTTACGTGGATACGCTGACATCAGTTTTCCGGACCAACGTGGATTTCCGATTGTCTGAAATTGTGGTCAAACAAATCAACAGGTTATTAGAACAACAATTTGCAGGTTCGAAATTTTATTCAGTTACATATTGCAAGTTTGAGGTTTGAATGACATCTTTGCTAGTTGAAGGTTTATTTGTATTTTTTTTTCAAGTTCGATGTTTTTTTGGGGTTTTACCCTATTTTTAAATATGGTCTTTGATCCATGGTTCGAGCTGTTTTTCATTTTCCCCAAATCATGAGTTCAAACTATAGACATTGTTTTTATAAGTTAACGAATACTTTTTTGCCAAAAAAATATATCAAGAACTAGCTTCCCACGTTATAGAAAGAAAGAAAACTCTTCACCGTAGATTGAGTGTCTTGATTGAGTGACTTGATTAGTAACAGAGAAGAAAAGCTTTAGGATTATAAAAAAAATAACAATATTATTATTATAGAATATCGTTTAAAAAAATCATAAACTTTAAAATATTCTACATAAATATATAATTTTTTGGTTTCTAAATAAATATACCAACGTTACCAAAAATTTTATATTCTTATGATGTTAATCACGCTAAATCATTGTTGTATGACGCACACTAAATCAAATTAAAAACAACAATGTTACTATTATAGAATATCGTTTAAAAAATCATGAACTTTAAAATATTTCGTATAAATATATGATTTTTAGTTTCTAAATAAATATACGAACATTACCAAAATTTTTATATTTTCATAATATGACTCGCGCTAAATCATTTCGTATGATGCACGCTAAATCAAATTAAAAATAACATTTTTATTATTATAAAATATTGCTAATTAAAAAAATCATGATTTTTAAAATATTCCATATAAATATATGGTTTATTTATTTCTAAATAAATATACGAACATTACCAAAATTTTCATATTTTTATAATATGACACGCGTTAAATCATTTCGTATGACGCACGCTAAATCAAATTAAAAAAAACAATGTTACTATTATGGAATAGCGCTAATTAAAAAATCATGATTTTAAAAATATTCCATATAAATATATGGTTTCTTTGTTTCTAAATAAATATACGAATGTTACTAAAGTTTTTATATTCTTTTTTGGATGAAATGTGATTGAATTAATACCAAAGAAAACAAATGTCATAATATTTACAAATTAGAGATAGCTCTAAACAGATCTCTCATAAACAGATGGGGAAAATTACATGTTCCTACATGAAGTAATGCGATACCACTGCTGTAATAATTTATTTTCTGTCGCGCCCGGATTATGGAGAGAGATTAGTTTGTTCCTCATGGTCTGATCAACCTTGAGTCTTGCTTGGTGGATAGTAAGGTGTCGGTCTCTATGAATGCGAGAATTTCTTTCCATCCAAATGGTGTATGTGATAACCTGCGTGAGTAACTTCTTAATCGTAGCTTCGTCACGGTTCGTAGATTGGTTGGTCCAATCCAGAAAGTCTCGGATATGTGTGGGAGGGGGGTTTTCCATTAGCCGTCCAAAGTGCAACCAAATCGAGCGACTAAATCTGCAACCAAAGAACAGGTGGGGATGTGATTCCAAATCGGCGCAACATAGAATGCACCGATTCGGAGCTTGGATTCCCCACGTCTCGAACCGGTCGGTAGTCGGGGGACGTTCTTGGAGCACCTGCCACGTTAAGAACGCATGCCTTGGAGTAGCCTGTCGGAACCATGCTAAGCCACAGCCTTCGAACGCAGTTCCCGGAGATCTCAGTTGTTCCCATGTTTGCCTAGTTTTATATTCTTATAATATATTACGTGTTAAATCATTGTCGTATGTGCAAATAATTTTTAAATATATCACGTCAGTACTTTGTATGAGATCTTGTTAACAGATTTTTAGTTCATTAACGATATTAATAATTATACAGGAATATGTTTACTAAAATTCGTATATTTATTTAGAAATGAAAAAGTCATGTAGTTATATAGAATATTTTTAAAAATTCGTAGTTTTTAGGTTATATTTTATAATTATTATTTGATTAATTTAAGGTTAAGTTTATATAGATAGTAATATATTTTTAGTACAGTTCATGACAAATAAATTTTTTTAAATTAAATAGAAAATACTATAACACATAAACTCCACTTATTTTTTTATAAACTTTTTATATATATGTTACCTGATCATGGTTCAAACAATTTTATTATTTATATGGTAAAGATAAATCCTATAATTATATACTCGACTCATTCGAATTTTTACGTAAATTCTAATTTTGTATTATATATATAGAACCTGATTAATCTTTCACTTTATTCGATTCTATAATCATGGTTCCAATATTGTTGTTATCTATATAGCGAGGATAGATTCCTACAATCGTATATGACATTCACTCGGATTTCTCGACCCACGTTGCCATGATACACCGCTTTTACTTATTAATAGTAAAAACCCATAATTTAAAAAATAATTGAGTGGGAAAAATGATTTCAAGAAAAGTATGTGAATGTGGAGCATATGTAGTTAGAAAATCTCATGATATATCATATCATATAATATGTATGAAGATTTTCTTATAACTGACCACAAAAAAAAAAAAAAAACTTATGAACGGACCACATCCCAGCAATTCAATCCACCATCCAATTTGGCCATTAAAAGACTGTCCATTTAAACAAAATAAATCAAAATATATTTTTTATGAATGATTCTAATCGAATCAACTAAAATCCACAAACCAAATTCTGACTTCTTAATATATTTTTCCTTTTTGTGTGTTTTTTTATAAATTCATAAACTATTCTTCTTGTGGGTTAAGAGAGTGAAGGAATCAAATTCTCTCCCTTCTTTTAAATTTTTATTGGCTTTTATTATATATAAAAAAAAAAGTTGTCCAATGAACAAGACACTGGATAGGCTTAGCTCGAATTCTATTCCTTTTATCACTTTATTCATAGATTCGAACTTTTTTTTAGATATTGATCCATTATTTCAACAAATCATGAATTACATATCATAGTGGAATAGACTGCATTCAAGAAATTCGAAATAATGATAAATATTTTACTATATTTTAGAAAATATCTCTCGTTATTAACACTAATATGATGCGATTTTTACTAGATTTTTTCAAAATTTTACAATAATAATATAATAAAAAATATATATGTGAATCGATAAAGAGTATGATCAACATAACGAGAAATTAAAGGTTCAATTCTTTAGCATTCACCCATCATCCGTCAATTACGACTGAGTATAATACAAAAAAAAAAATCTTAGGTGAACTGACAAGGAACATGTTAACATAGTGGAACGGTTAATTTATCTGCACACGTGTATCGTGAACTCGTGTACGTGGGTGGGGTTTATCCAATCAACACGTTCGAAGATAACAGTTTGAGTTCTCCCTATATAAAAAAAATAATACAATACGAAGGGCATAAATACATAGAAAAGTTGAGACATTGGATTCAATTCGAGACGTGAAAACAGATAGAAATTTGGATGACGGTGACAAACATGATCTCTAACTATTTAGACACTGAATATTCAAAACAAAATAATATATACAAACAAATAAATAAATAAATAAATAAAGATATTTTTCTATGTCATGAAGAATCAGATTCTATTTTTGTAACCTATCGGAATCGGATAAAGACGTGAAGTCTTTTTTCCTCAAAGAGTGGAAGAGGACGACGGGTTCTCTGGTTCTGCCATGTGAGGAAACTTCAGAAACAGGACATGACAGCTTTTACGTTGTATTATATATACACACACACACACACACACACAATATATATAGATATATATACACAGACACGCAAGCACACCGGAAGAAGGAAGCAAACAAAGAAAGAACAATTACTTGCGAAACAAGAAACCATTACTGCCTCATGTAAGCTCACCAGAGGATATTATTACCAACAGAGGCCTTTTATTACCGAAAATATTCACAAAGGGTTTCCTCTCAAGCTCATATAACAGATCCAATCATTCAGATCCTAAACGATATGAGAATTTACAAAACTTCTTTTTTTGGCAGTTCTAAAGACCGGACAACCCGAAAAAACATAGCAAGAGCAGGATCGAGAGAATTTACACTGCGGATTTTAGGGTCTCGGCAAAGGGCATTCCTTTCTCAGGCGGTGTGAGTGAGGTTCACGGCCCTTCTCAGTCTGTCCAGGATCCCACTAGCCTTCCTCTGAGCCCTAGAGGTTCCTTCCCGCGCAAGTTTCGCCATCGCCCCATGAGCTTTCTCCGCCTCCCTTATCTCCTTCCACTTCGTCCTGTCGCTGAAACATATAGTGTGCAGTATCGCTACAGCGTTCTCCTTGTTCCTCTCGCACTCGCTCTCCCGGATAATCTTGAGAAGCCAAGACACGGCCCCGAGCTCACCCAATTCGTCCACCGCCTTCCAGTGGCTCACCAGCATGGCCAGGATCACCAAAAGCTCATCCACGTACAACCCATCCGAGATCTTATTATTCATAACCCTAACGGCTCCATCCCTCACGGCCCTTGCCCTGTTGTCATGGGCGATACATAGCGTGAAGATTGCCGCTGCCACGTCTTTGATAGCCAGTGGATGCCCTTCTTCTAAGAGATCGATCAACGGCTTCAGGGCTCCAGATTTTCCTATCATGGTTTTGTTTGAATCAAGGGCAGACAGTGTGAAGATCGCTGCAGCCGCATTGCTCCTTGTAGCGATAGTTCCACGCCTCAGCGAATCCAACAGCAGAGGGATCACATTAGGGTTTTCGCAAACAAGCTTCTTGTTGCTGTCATGTATGGAAATGTTCAGTAACGTCGTGATCACATCCTCTTGAAGCTGCTCATCTACGTTAGAGCTTGAACCCTTCAACGGACCAACCAAGCGAGTGATTTCGGACGGAGAATCGCCGAAGAGCGCTCGGAACTCTGGTCCACGCTTCGTCAGCAGCCTTAGCTCCTTGGCTGCCGATTTTTGATCGGAGAGGTTTGGAGACGAGATCTTGGCGAGCAAGGATTGAAAAATTTCGAGATCCGACTTCGGGAGAACAGGTTCTTCTTCCTCGACAAGGTGGGGATGAACAAGATTTGATGGCTCTAGTCCCACTTTCTTGCACCATTTCGAGATCAATTCTCGGATTAGGACATTCGGGGTTAAAGCTGTGTGAGACAGAACTTGTTGAGTCTTAGGACACGTCTTGTTCCCGGAGCTCAGCCATTTCTGAATGGATGGTCTGTCGAATGTCTGTAGAAAAAAGAAAAAACAGATTTCATTTACACACATAGATTCTGTTCGGTTGGATACTCTTTCCAGATTTCTCCCCTTTCATCTGTATTAAGAGTAGAATTATGCGTTTCTCGGCAACCAAACAGGATCTTTATGAGGAGTAGTGAAAGGGAACTTTCAAAATCCAAGATTTATCACCGAAAATTCAAGAATTCCAACACTTGGGGACTGTTTGGACACCAAGAAACCTGAGAAGGAAAAAGGTTTTTACAGATTTTCTCATCAAAATCCAACAGTTTTACATATTTTCTCCAATTTTCCTCGGATTTTACCTGTCAACCAAACAGAACCATTTCACGCCAACCAATACCACCAGAAAATTTAAAATTTTACTCATCAGACAAACGGCAAACAGCAAGAGCAAAAAAAAAATCCAAAACCCTAAAAATCGAAGGAGCCGAAATGGCGAAGTCCACTGACCTGACCGGAGGCCAAAACGACGGGATCCCGCATGAGCTCGTTGGAGAGAGGGCAACGGAACTCATCAGGACACGACATCGTTTCGAACATCTCGAGAGAGGAAGAATTGCCCATCTTCTTCTTCCTCACCGTCATCTCCTTCAGCGCCAACAAAGCCTCCTGCAACTGATCGAATGCCTGAACCCCTAAATTGTCGTCTCCTTCTTCCTCGAGAATGCTCCTCACCAGTTTCTGCATCTCCTTCTTCAGCTCCTTCGCCTTCGCCATCGCCGTCGGATCTGATTCAAACACCCCCGTCTTCGCCATCCGCCGCACGATCTCCACGACCTAAACCCTCTCTCTGATCAAAAATACAAAAATCAGATTATGCTACAGAAGGATTTTTTTTGGGTTCTCCTCCGATTTATTTATTTTCGTCTCTCATTTATTTATTTATTTTAATTTTAACTCTTCGGAATAGAGAGAGAGAGAGAGAGAGAGAGAGAGAGAGAGAGAGAGTATATAAAGGAGGAGGAAGAGAGGGTAGTGGAAGTGGTGAGGGGAAGTGTCTGTGGCACTATAAAATTGTGACTTTGCCACGTCGGTAATTATTTTTATTTTTAAAATGATAATAATACAACACGTATTATTATCTACGTTGTGACTAGCGCTTCCGCCGTCTCACTAAATTTATTTATTTTTTATATTTTGCATTGTTATTATATTTTGTGCTCCAACAATAACTTTATTTATTTCGTTAAATATGTTTTCCATAAATGTTAATTTAAAACTAATATATGCTGATATTATAATTAAATGTACATGGTGTGATTTAAAACTAATGGTCGGATAGAAATTAGACTAACTGATGATTAAAAAATGATGGAAAGTATGATAATGATAATCATATTAAATGAGGATAAACGAGAATTTATTCCACCACTGCAGAAAATTGTTTGGAATCAGATTATTTATAACATTTTTTAGAATTAAATCTTGTAAATTTTTAAATAATTATAATGTTGGAATCTTTGTTTTAGTCTTTTATTAAAACTTTTGAATTTAATTTAATATGCAAATTTTATCGTTGTAAAATTTTAATTAAATCATATATAGAAAAACTAAGTTTAAAAACTAAAAAATATAATTTAATATTCGATATATCTATTTTAGACAGTGATATTTTATTTAAACCATGTAAATAAGGCATGCAATAAATGATGAATTTAGGCCATTCTCTAAAAAGAGAAACTTGTCATATGATAAAAAAAATGTGTAAATAAAATGTATTATATTCTAAGTTGTAATATATATATTGAAATTTTTGTAGAGTGATGTAATGTTGTTTTCACGGGCTAACAATATTTGTATGAACGATGTTATAGTCAAACGACCCATGGAAAAAAAATCGTAAATAATAATAATAATAATAATAATAATAATAATAATAATAATAATAATAATAATAATAATAATAATAATAATAATAATAATAATAATAATAATAATAATAATAATAATAATAATAATAATAATAATAATAATAATAATAATAATAATAATAAGTAGAGTGGGACCAAAAGAGAGTGCCAACATGGAGAGGTGATGAGAGAAATATGTAAAAAATGCTTTTGGATAATTGCTTGTTTTGGACATTTGACACGAACGACCCATGGAAAAAATATCGTAAATAATAATAATAATAATAATAATAATAATAATAATAATAATAATAATAATAATAATAATAATAATAATAAGTAGAGTGGGACCAAAAGAGAGTGCCAACATGGAGAGGTGATGAGAGAACAGCTGGCATTTGCGCGTGCATTGTTTTCTACTCTTCCTCCAAACACATCACACGTCACTTCGTAACATAAGATCTCTCTCTCTCTCTCTCTTTACATACATATATATATATATGTAATGTGTGTATATATTTAAGTATATGTTAGTTTTCAACACGTGATTAAATGTGATTGATTGGATTTGATTTCGGTGGACAGGCTTTCTTTGTTTGGGTTTATTAGTGAAATGGTTCATTAAAAAAAACATATGTTTTACTCAAATATATTTATAAATACTTTAATCACATGGCATGGTTTTTGAAAAATGTGTATGTATATATACACACAAATACACACGAATAGATAGATTTTCACAATATATACATCCTGAATAGATATACTTCAATTTATTAATAGAAAAAAAATGGTCTGTGAAACAATTTAAGTTTTAGCTTTTCATTAGAAATTACTTTAATCACTCAACCATGACACATCAAATTCGAGAACGAAATTTATATATATAAATATATATAAAGGGGAAAAAATGCCGAATCTATGCGGATGAGTAGAATTTTGTCGGCTGTCCACGTGGCGGAAGAAGGAAGTTTCAACTTTATTGCAGAGAAGGACCATGTGTCATGTGATGTTATGGTATCTCATGCGACACGTGCCATAATTATAAGCCTCCACGACATTCATCTTTTTTCCCTCCAAAATTCCTCCTCATTTGTCTGCTGGATCACTTGAATATTCATTTTCTAAAAAGAATATTCGGAAAATATAAAAATACATTTGAGGTATAAATATATAGGTTTATAAGTTTGCAGTCAATATATTTTTTTTTTGGTATGAAGTTTGCAGTCAATATATGGTTATAAAAGATTCTGAAACCCAAAATATTGTATATAATATAACATTTTGTTCATGGTTACACGTACATTATGGTTACTTGCATTGTAGTGCATGGTTTTAGTAATATCACATTCCGATCTATGATTTATATTTAATTCGATTGGAAAATCTATTCAAATAGTATAATCATTATAAAAAAACACTGAAAAGGTGATGTAAAAAGATGACATAAATTGTACGTCAGTAATTTGGTTAGATCGAACCGATCAGCGGATATAAAATTTTATACCAATTGAATCAAATATAAAATTTATTATCTCAGCGGATAAAATATAAATTGCTAAAAAAAGTAAACTAAATTCACGAATGAAATTTAGTCCCAATCAAGTATTTATTCTTTTCTTTTTACTTCTCGTCGACGTAAAAAATGTTGAAATGTCCAATTTCGTAAAATGCTTTGTATGCTTTTTATGAATACAATTTTTAATTACTAACTCGTATATTCCAAAATATTTTTATAACCTGAGATTGGACTGACAATATTGTTAAATTAAATATAAATTGTATTAACTATGTTTTCTAGTTTTATAAATAAACCAAGTATATATTGCACTGTTGAATGCATAAGATGGATTACATTTGAATAAATATTCAAACATATTAATATAGATGCAAAATGTACTGAAATAAAATAATGAAATCATCATCATAGAATATCTATAATATATTAATGATATTTGATATCTTTAATACATGTTATATATATATATATATGGAGAAAAAACATGCAGGGGTATGGGATATAAATAATATTTAAAGTTGTAGATATGTGAGGAGGGTACGGCATTGTAACTATTGTCCGACTCCTTATCAGCAGAAAGAAGATGACACTTCGTGGTTTCACCTCCTCTCCGTCCATGATGGCATCATCATCATCATCATCATCATCAATCATCATCATCATCGTGTATTTGATGTGCATGTACACATATACACACACATTAATAACAGTTTTGGATGGGATCCCACTCATCTTGAAACTCCCAGAGAATCTTAGGGTTGCCAACTCGGATTCGTCAGCAATGTGGGATCCATGGTCCCACGTGTCATCTTCTTGTGATCCCTGCATGTTCGGACCGTAATAATACGCACTTGTCTTTTTCTATGTGCTTATATTTTTTAAATTTAGACGATTTAAAAAACTAAATATATATCTGATTTGTGATCCTATTCCACTCGAATTGGTAAAATTTTGTTGGAGATTAATCTGGGTTTTTGTTTATTAAAAAATATATTAATTCAGAAAATATGAATTTTATTATTGTTATATCCAATTCGTATTCCATATAATTTAATTTTAAAACAAAACATATATAATTTAATTTATGTATAAATATATATTGTTTATTTCAATCTATTTGTAGTTTTCGTATTCCAACCGAAATATTCTACCTAAATTGAAAGTCCCAGTGCCAAAGAAAGCTATTTGTCGATAGGGTCAGGCCCAATTATGACTTGGGCTTCCACATAAGGCCCAATAAGACCCATACCAGTCGATGTATTTCGGCCCATTTATCAGGCTTTGTTTATTTTGCGCACTGCCCATTATATTATTATACTGGCATAATAATATATGAAGAAAGACTCTTGACTCTACGGTGGACCCCGGCATGTACGTATGGAATATCTCAATAGATTATGAAAACTAACGACATTAAATTAAAAACGAGATATATAACACCATTATTATATTAATGTTAATTTTATTCGTGGAAAATTCAAAATCTCCGGACGGTGACAGCATTTCGATTTCTAAATATTATCCTGCCTTCTAATAGTAACCTTTTATTACAATATGAAATCCGTTAATATCTATGTGATATTTCCTTAGTTTTCTACGTAGGAGGATGTAAGCATGAATAAAAAAAATAAAATCTCACATCTACAAATTTATATTATATATATATATTGACCAGACAATCTACACCGACCAAGCGATCTCGTGTCGGATCTAAAATCCACCAATGCCGTGTTGACACGTTTTAAGTATTTAGTGGATAAAATAAAATTAAAGATACAAATGAATAATTACTATTAATTTTTCCCCGAAGTAATGATTTCGTATGCATGGATAATATTATATATACATGAATTTATCGTGAAAAGATGGCCACCGTTGATATCCTCAGGGCTTACAATATGCAGAAACTTAATGGAAATTATGGTGAAAACGACATTGACACGTGTACACCAATTGCTTTATACAATGTGGATAACAAAGACAACATAGACGAGGGGACTTGGATAACTATCCAATATATATATATATATATATATCGAATCGATACCATATGGATAATGTGTCGAATATATCCGATAGATTCATAAAATTTGGATTATTTATCTAATTAAATTAATATTTTTTTATTTCCAACTTTTACAACCGTGTATATATCTAGCTAATTTTTTAACTTTAAGAAATTTCTATAAAAAAAAAAACAATGACTAATATTTTAATTTCACATATCCAACCACAAAAGTAATGAATCAACTGTGACACATGCATATGTGATGTGAAATAGAGAGTTGTTCGGATCAGAAAACGGGAGGAGGAGCCAATAGACACTTGGTGCAATCAACATATGGAAATTTTGTCCCACAATTACATATATATATATATATATATGTATATATACGCGTGTGTGTATATATCTATATATTATAAAATGGTGTTGAAAACTTGCTCCACTCATTGACTACCCCCTTACCTCATTGGGCCACCTCATATCATATTCTCTCCATTTTCTCTCTCTTAATAATTTCTTTTTTTTTTTAATGTCCTTTATTCCTTATCCTCTTTTATCATGTCTCCTCGTCCCTTTTCTTCCGTGGTTAGTAATTGTCGAGTGCAAAAACAATGTGTGGTTTAATTATCTATAATCCTACATATTAATTTTTATCATTTTATAAACATATAAGACAGAGTATCTTGGTGATATGGTCATAATAATATCTGCATATATAAATTTTAAAGCCAGTATCTAAAATTAAATATATATGTTTTTTTGGCTCGTGACAAGTTATACAAGTTGAATATTCAATAATACAAAGGAATAAAACTAATATATAGATAGATAATCTTATCCAAGTCACGTGCTCCAATTTTTTTGGTCTTTCTTTTAGGTGGGTTTTTATCAGGTGCGGTCCACTATATGACAGTGCAATGAGCCCGCCTGGATGTGGACCGACGCATTTCACGTTCACCACGTCACGTGGTATTGCCACGTCGATAGAAACGGATTATAATCCTCTGCAACGACGTCCACGTCCACCTGTTTTTGTCGATTAGTTTTCAACCGTTGGATCTGATTCATGTCTACGGCTCAAGATCATGCACTTGTTGCGTGTTTTGTCCCACTTCACGGTTGCTCCTATGCTTTACGATGTTCGTTTGCCGCGTAGCGCACATTGTTCTTCCATTATTTTTAGACAATTTTACAAAATGAAAATAAAAATTACAACTAATATAGGTTAAACGATTATATCCACGAATCCGTATTTTTTTATACCTGCGTTCGAATAGGACGTTCAAATTTTATAATTAGTAATTTTGTTTAAAATATAAAAAAAATACTAAAATTGTAACTCGGAGAAAATCACAATTAATAGTCACGTGGTGAAATCGTCTTTATCATCGAGTCCGTACAAACAGGCGCCCCTCGATGGTATTGTCGAAGCCGATGGCGCGACAAACGACGGTGTTAGCGTCGTCAGATGACGGCGTCAATCCTGCCGTCGTCCTTTTGTACGGACCCAGCCACCGAGTCTGCATGTAACGGTTCTTCCGCCACGGAGGCACCGTCAGACCACGGCTCCTCAGCGAACGCCTCGCCGTGTCGCACGTGAGACGCACGAGCCGCTTCAGGTCCTCCACTCGACCCACGAAGATCCTCGGCAGCGATTGCAGCACAAACGAGTATTGCGTCGTGGGTCTAGCGATCTCGAACTGCGACGTGAAGTCCAGCTCCACGATGTAGCGATACGTGTCGTTGTTTGATTGGACGATGATGTCGATGAACTCGTGGTTCCCAGCGGGTAGGTTTCCGGAGGATCTCCATCTGGTCTTACAGATCGCCGCATTGTGTCCGAGCTCGCGGAGGAGAGACATCACTCTCCGGCGGAGAACGGCGCGGCGTTCGTGCTGGGAGTCGGGAGACGGCGTATCGTTCGGGTGAAAAACGGCGTGGTGTTCTCCGTGAGATCCGTTAGACGACAAGACTTCCATGGCCCTGGTGACGTGGACCAATAGCGCATGTCCGTACGGGTCGTCCCTGATGCAGTTTCTGATCAACCTCGCGATCTCCTCAGCGGCGTCGGATCGCTCTGCCGACGAATCGACTCGTTCCGAGTCAGACTCAGAGTCGGAACCCGAGTCATTTTCGCTCCAGCGCGACGACGACTCGCCGGCGATCTCGTCCTGGTGATCCTCTAAAAATCCATGGACCAACTCGGAGAGACAAGGGGAGTCATCGTCGTGGAACCCGTCGCCGGAATGCTCACTGCCGCTGCTGAAACTGCACCCGAAGAATCGAGCCCTGACCTCGTCAGCGAGTGGGTCAGTGACTCGTTTCGTCCTCGTGAAACCCATCTTCTAAAAAATCGATTTTACCGAGAAACAAACAGAACCCCCAGAAAATTCAAACTTCCTCAGAAAACTTTAAAGATTCGAAGAAAAAAAGAAAGGTTTTTATAAAGGAATGTACGGAGAGAGGGAGAGAGAGAGAGAGGGTTGGCTCTGGCTCTAAATATTCGAAGAGAAGCCGGACAATTTATATAACTCAACTCCTCTTGCGGTTTTATTATATATTATATGTAATATAATGATAAATAAAACATATATAGACGAAGAGATATGCCACGTAATGAAGAGAAAAAGCTGAACAAGAACGTAAAGAAGTGGAGAGGTAGAATCTACAAAGCGTAAGAAACTTACGGATGTGCTACGTAAACTCATGAGGACAACCTAAACACTGCAACGCATATATACACACCACATACATACAGATAGGCAGATATAAACACTGTAACGCGTATATACACCCACCTTACGATAAAGATCATTAGATGCCACTTGGGGATATTGTTTATTGTTTTCATTTACAATATTTGTGTGTGCATAATATAAATGTGGCTCGAAACGTATAACAAAGAGTGTTATAAATGTACATGCATGTAATTAATTATAGGGTGTAGAAGCCAGAAGGACATGCATATATATATATATACATATATATACATAGCTCTTGTTAACGCGTGAAGTAATTAACCAATTAATTCATTGTCATTCCCTTCACGTCTTTACATTCGAGTAAAGATGGGGTATAGTCTTTGGCGATGGTCTCAGAGGATATATGCATGCCTACGTTGGAAGTTTATTTTCGAATATGTATTGTGTTTTAATCATTTTCCTTTTATATATATGATTTTTTTTCTATAATTTATTACATTACGGTTATTACTAACAATCAATTTTTCTGATATATATACACACACACACGTGACCTTTTAATATATGAATTCGAATCATGTCGTGGATGAGAACGGTGAAAACATTATAATTACTAAATTGTATAATATTTTTTTAATAACTACTTCTATGATTATGAATATATATATATATATATATATATTATTTTTTAGTAAAAAAAAACTTCTTCTTACGGTCTTATCATAGGATTTTAATCTTATATCCATAAAAAAATCAATATGACATTCGAAATATTACCTATTGATTTATGCATGCCGATAATAAAAATGTCAAATTTCTCCATATAATTATGATGTGCAGCGTAGTTATCTCTTTTATATCAAATAACTAAAATATAGTTTTGATATTTTGTCAAATGACAAGAAACAGTAAACTCACCGTTAAGATGCTGACATTCAATAATATTAATAATAATAATAATAATCAATAATTAGTCGGAGATGCTTTTAAATATTGAATAAGTAAATAAAAATTGTTATTTTTTAAAATTAAAACGTCTACAAGGCAAACCAGTAAGACGGAAGTGAAAATAGTAATAATACATACATAATATTAGGATAAAGATGACACGTGGATAACTTTAGGTGGGACCCAATTTGGACTGAATAGGTTTGGCCCAAAATCTCAACCTCTCTCTTCCCAATTTACAACTTCGGCCCCTCATTGAAGGAAAGGCAAGGGCTTTTGAAATAATAATAATAATAATAATATAGTTATACGTTTTAATAATAATAGTAATAATATAGTTATTATTATTATTAATAAATTTTTTAAAAAAAATTGGTGGGTATGTACATAACATAGTTATACGTTTGTAATAAATTGTTTTACGTGCAAATGCGATGTTGTCTTAAATTCTGTTTGGGGGACAGAAAAACAAATAATCTATGGCCATATGCCCAAGTTTATCTTTTGGGCTTTATCAGAGCCCATTTGTAGCCCAACTAAATTATACAATTATATTCTACCATTAATCGTATTTCAGTGTACTTTATTTTGTTTTTATACATACAGGTGGACTTAAGGATATATATCCTTGTGAAATTCAACAATAAAAAAATTCAAAACAAAAGAGCATATATATATATATATACATATATAATTTTTTAACAAAACAGTTGCAAAGCGTAAATGTAAGTCCACTGGCATAAACCCAACAAAAATATTAATAATTGTATCTAAAAAATTATTAATTCCATCGTTATATGTTTGTGGAAAATAATTAAAAGATGTCTCGCTTATTATTTTAAAACTGTTATGCAGTCCAAAGTACGAGACATGTCCAGGGGGAGCAAAAAGAAAAACATTTCAAATATATTAAATTATATTACAACAATTTACGGGATCGTACCGAAATAATAAAATATACAAGTGTAATTGTATACATATGTTTTTTTAAGATGAATAATTAAAATATAAGTGGAAAATACAACAGAGAATATAACCATAAATTTTCAGGTGTTTTTTTTTAACCGGCAAAGATTATACATTACATTTATATATACATAAATTTATAGAATTCCAATGGAATCGAAAGCATAAAAAGCCAAAACTATTATATAGAAATAGAACAGTTATAATTATTTTTAGAAGTGAGCATAATAAAACGGAAATTTAAAATATTCGTATTATCAATTAACTTTACCTTTTTTTTTTATATATTTTTGAAGAAAAAACTGCATGAATAGAAAATAATAATAAAAAGGGAACAGTTGTTTGGTAAATCAAACTCCTCCTTGTCTTTGCCCTGATCATTGTGAAATTTGTTCATGAGGTTGTTGAGTTTGCACCTAATGAATAAGATTGATTGACAAATTAAAGTGACCATGAATTTGTAGCAAAAGTCAATAATGTGAACATTGTCCCAAGTAACATTTTATTTCAATAATGCATTTATATTTTCATATTTACATCGACTATCCATATGTATATCCCCGAAATATTCATGTGCTTTTGGATGTAATGTAATTTTCATATTTACATCGAGTTTTTTGTTACAAAAAATAATATCATCGATTATGAATCACAGTAATTAACGAGAAAGTTATTGAATATCGGTTGAACTGAAAAAAGAAATCAAACTGTTTTTTTTTTTAATTATTTTTATTAATTAATTTCTTCGTAGTTAAATTGTTGCAAAGCCTAAGTTGTTGAGCACATGTTTTGATTAAAAGTAAGTACACATGTCTCGCATTAAACAAGAAAGCAAATCCTATTAAAATTAGTGTCCGACATTCAGAAAAACAACATACCCGCTCTATTAACCACTCTATATGGAATCCATTTATTTCAAATTTAAAATCACAATATTGTATGAATGTTTTTTATAATCAAGATGATTCTCTTGACTTTCGATCCAATTATATCCATCTAGGTTCAAGATCACCCTTTGCATATAAACCATTTTGATCCAGAAATTACATTATTTCTCACAAGTGGAATCGAATGCAAAACTTTAAAGATGATTTTGATATCCTCAATCATTTGACCACCCAACTGTCTGGGTAATATTTTTAGTTCTTAACATAATGTTTTTAAAAAAGATAACTCTATATTATACGAGTCGAATGCTAAAATCTATATCATATGGATGAAATATTGATTGACAAATTTTCCATCAAAATTCAATGTGGAAATACAAATTTCATTCAAATATGCATCCACACACACACACACTAATTCATATAAATTAACATAATTGGATAATGGCTTTTATTTTCTCATCTAATTATTAGTACTTCGTCTAGATCCGTGTGTGTGTTGATCGTTTTATTATTTTATCAATTTGGTTGGGGAAATGCAAAATGTGAGCAGAGGGGATGAATCTATGATTGAATATATATATATATATATATATATATATATATATATATATATATAAATGTATATTCAT